CTCGTCTAACGCACGTGAACTCAACAAGTTTTTATTGCTAGATGCTAAGAGAACGTATGGTCATTTCCAATATGGAAACTCTAAACAGTGCATCAGAGCGAGTCAACAGAGGATCCCCATCCGATGATGCTGGTTCTCCAATGATCAAATCAATTCAATGTAACGTCCCACTCGATGACGAGAGCCACGCTGCGATGCTAACACGAGTTCATACGATAAGGACAGAAAGGAGCGGCGCGAATGTGCAGCCATCGAGCTCCAGTTGGCCCAACTTGCAAAAAATGGTCATGGGTTTGCACAGCAAATTAGGCTCTATTGTCGAGCCCAATTTAGCCCGGATTCGCGCAATGATCACATCCCAAGTCAAATTGACGGGACTCCCGGGTTTGCTAAATTGGGAAAAAAACACGTATGGAAAAAGAGAGTGTACCCGCAGGACCCCAAGCCACTTTAGCACTGTTCCGACCTGTTGTGTGATGAGCCCGAGAAAGTCGCCGCCGTCGGATCGTGAGACGGTGGGCATTTATTCCCTACTTTGGGAGGGGGCTGTTTGTCTGATCGCATCATTACCGTTCATGTGCCCCCCACAAAAGCAAATGTTGATTGAATCCGGCGTCCCCCCTACGCGGGACGGAGAGAAGGCAAGCTTGACCGCGTCGATTTCGAGGTCAGTCAGCATCAGAGAGACGACACGAGGACCGCCCGAACCTTAACCATCAGACGAACGCCGGAACTCTCCGATCGATTCAAATGCAAATCGACAACAGACCCTTGACACGAGGGTAAAAAATAGCTAAACTTCATTCTTATCATTTCCACCTAGTTTCTGTAATTTTCAATTATGACCCGTAACTTTTTCTTAGAGAGCGCTCCACATTAGTTGATACAGCTAAGACCATACTTTGAATATTTAAAACAAATGTCGGCGCAAATGAAAGATACCTAAATCTGATGGACCTAAAGCTTATTTACATTCAAAATGCGCTTGAGTTTCGATGATCGCTTATCAGTGTCCTGAAAAACTCTCTTACACGTTAATTACGTACAGTGACTGTTGAATGATACGGGACTTTATTACTTTCGAGTGGTTCGGGGCCGATTCGAATCCCGATCGTTCTTTAGTTCGTTTGTGGACGACATTCGAACCAGCATGACCCTCGGCTTTGCACGCGCTTATTCCGTGCGAGGCCAAGGGGCAGGCTTGTCTTTTCAGGTAATACTTATGATTTGAATCGAAGATTTCACAGCCGTTCGGAAAACTTTTAATACATGCTCGAACGATAGAATGAATTACTCTTACTCTTAGTCGTCCCTTCTCACCCTTTCGACTTTGGAGGGGAAGAAACCTAATTACATCTGGCTTTGAATAATCTACTCAAAGACGTACGTGTGCACTTATTAAGAGATCATGCATTGATCATAACACACCCGATTACCACTATGGGGATGGAAGGAGTTCCTTCAAAATCTGACTACAACCCAATTTGCAAACCCCTATCCCCTATTTTGAAGTTTGAAAAACCCCCCCTTGATGGCCCTTGCGGTACATGCCAGTTCCCCCAAAGCGACACTCGAAGCATAATCGCATGTGTCCGATAAAGCAAAATTCCCAGACCACCATAAACAAATTCGCATACTACCTCCACGAAATGATTAAAGATCTCGTGGAAATCAAAACACGAAAAGAAAGGGAGGAAAAAGAAGGGGGGTGAGACCACAAATCAATCCGGATTTAATCTTCGAAAAGGAAAGAAGGCCCCCAAAAAAACTTTCGAATGATGTTGGCGTGGAGAGCCCTTTCCGGACCTTTTCCTCCCCATCAAATAAAACACAAAGCAAAAGCAAAACGTGGGTGCGCAAATTGGAAAATTCAGGAATTTTTGGCTTCACCCTTTGGTCTTAAGCTTGAAGATTTGCCATTTCTGCGTTAACAGAAGAACAAGAAGAATTTGCTGTAAAGGCCCCGAGTCATATGGCTAAGGGCCTAAGGGCACTTGTCTTTTCTTTGGAGCAGCGGCAGCAAAAAAGAAGACAAAGCACTTGGCTAAGGGGCACTGTGAGTCCAAGAATCTCCTCGAAAGCGCATGCTGACACATGCATTTCACCATCATATGCATCCCTCCTTTTGATCTTTTTGGTCCGTTTCGATTTTGTTTTGATTTGATACTTCAAAGGTTGGTACACAGACGTGCTCGAAACTCGGAACCCACTTGTTCTCCAGCATTCACCAACATAGGATTCTTTCACCAACCGAGCTCCATGACCTAGCTCACAGCTACAAAACACACACACGTGGCACACACGTCCCATGCTGCCAATGTCTTATCACTGTTCAAGTAAAACCGAGTTTTACCGCTCGTCGGCACGACCAGAGGCGAGGGCAGTCAATGCGATACGATAACATCTCTGTTCGATCCGTGGCGGTCCATATATATCAGCTACAAAGTCTCTATATGAACGAGAACGTGAAGTTATCATGGATGATGATGATAAAACGGACCATCTCATCTCATGCCAAGTTTAATAACCCTTGATTGACTGCTGTGTGTCCGAGGTTAGTGGACAAGCTAAGGGCGGGGTCTGTCGCTTTATTCACCTGACAAGTTACAACCGACTTTGGATCCTCATCTTGTCCTGGGTTTTTGTCTGGAGTGTGTTGCTCAAGCCATCAAGAATCTTCGCAGGTTTATCTTAATCCTAAAGCAGCTCCACATAAAGTCCATCTGTCATGATCGAATTCGTTTTAAAAAAAAATGGGATTCAAACCCGCCCGTTCGCTTGCAAACTTCGGGATTTTCAAACTTATATTCGAAGACGAGGGAAGTCGATTGAAAACTTTGGACACACAAGACAAAAATATTCCACTAAACACATATGTCCATGGCATCGCACCTCACTACGGGAATTGATTCAATTTGAATGGGAACTCCCGTACCTTTGTTGTAACCCGATAAAACTTTCAGGTCGAACCAAGCTATATAGAGTTATGTTTTCGCTCACAACATTTCATTCAAGGCGGCATCAAATCCCAACAGTGAGGATCAAAGGGGTTCGGAATCATGCTATTTCGAAAATTTTCTTCGGTTATATACAGACAGACGACTAGTGAATCAATTATCACAAACAAGAAAGGGTAACGGGTCTGATGAGCTTACATGTGAAGAATACGCATTCGCGGGGGAGACTTTCTCCTAAAAAGTTTCAACCAATCAGATACATTCAAGGGTTAACTATCGGACTTGTCGAACCAAACTATACGTGCAAAATCAGAGCTAAAGCGCAACTTGAAATATGAGTTTTCAAGTTTCATTCAACTAACGTCCTCGAGTAGGAATTGGAAATCTTCAGCTGGACTCGAAGGTGGTGGTGGTCGTGGTGGTGGCTGGGGGGTTGCACGAGGAGAGTGAATCGAAAGGAAGGAGAGATCGCACGTGAGGCACGTGAGTGCGGGGGAAGGGAATATATGCCTTGCTTGTGGGAGGCGAGCGAGTGGGGCCCACGCGGGGGGTTGGGGGGGGGGGGGGGGGCCCGCAAGTTGGAGTGATGTTTGGGTTTCCGTTTGTTTTTTTTTTGGGCTGGAGAGGGAGGGAGGGAGGAGAGCAGGAGTCGTCTGCCGCTTTATCGGAAACCCCAAAATTAATATTCTCTTCCTCCTCCTTCTTCCTCTACCCCTTCATCGGTCACGTCAGACCCACCCCCCACCCCAGTCGTCACGAAGAAGCCGCTATTTCTGACGTTATCTATCTTCTTCCCCCCCCCCTCCCCCACCCTTTTTCCATTTTTTGTTCTTTCAAAAACGAGAAAGAAGAACGAGAAGAAAGAAATTTTTTTTTTCTCTTCATTTTTCCATGCGGACGTGATAATAATAATAATACACGAGAATCATCAAAGTACGAGAGCCACGGAATGTTCATTCGCTCTGAACGGAATCGATTTAAAGTGCAGACGATCTCTTTAGTCCGTAACAGCTCTGTTCTGTGGAGCGATTTGAAATACTTTCACGGACTTGAGTTTAGATACATATGGTTTTTCTATGCATGCTCTAGAAAGTTCAAAAAAAAAAACATACCTCGAATTGGTTCTCGGACCACTTCCATGCCTTTGCTTTTGAAACATGTATTTGCACCTTAAGTTTTGGTTGTGCATACCACTTTGCACCCCGATATCAGTTACTATTGCTTTGTATTGGCAGATCTATCATTTCCTTTCCCATAATGGCCCTTGCCAATTCAAACCCTAGCTCATCCAGCACAGCAGCCACCAGCGTCCATTGAGGACCTCTATATAGCTCTCTCTGTTGGCCAACAATGACCCCCTATCCGTCTCCATTGTCAGGTCACGTTCGCTCACCCGTTTGTTGTACGCTTCTCTCTCTCTTCGCCATACGATATGTTTAGATACTTGAATTGGGCAAAGCGCACCGGTGATGATAATTTCCACGTATAGAGCTATTCAATCAAGATATATTGATCTAGCAAAAAAAAAAAAATCAAGATATATTGAGCTCACAAATGAGACACGTTGACAATCCATGATGAGTTCAAACGCTTGATGCGAGGAAAGATTAAAAATATATTCTCGAATCACACTTCCGATTCGTAAGTTTCAAGTTACAACAATCACCGACACGTAAGATACGAGTAATGCTTATATTTATAACGTGTCGTCAGAAAAATGGATGGAGAACATTTTTTCCGATGAAAAGATGGAGAAAAACATGGCCTGATAAACCGAGTGTTGAGAACTTGAGATCAATGAGCCTTAGCGTGAATCCTTCGACCAAGAGCAAGTGTACATGGAGAAGGGTTTTTGCATTGGCCTTAGGTAAGTGGTGGACCCCACCATAGGGGTAGGAGGGGACGTAGAGAGACAGCGTAGGGCCCGCAGGATGTTAGCCGTACAAGTACATACCGCCGACGCTGCGTAGACCGTATTTCTCTCTCTCTCTCTCTCTCTCTCTACACTTCCTCCTTTTTCTCGCCTTCTTATTCCCAACCTTACCCGTGCTTCCATGCATCCACACATAAGCCATTTACTCTCTCTGTCTCTCTCTCTCTCGCCTCACTCACTCCCATTATATAATCAGAAGCTTCTCAGAGGAGTGAAGTGATGATCTGGGGGAGTTCTTTTCTGGAGTGATCTGGTCTTTGGTTCTTGCATGCGCGATCTTGATCCGTTGCAGGGTCGGCTTGCCGTGTGATTTTGATAAAGTGGAGTCATCTACAACAAAATGGCGTTCACTTCCCTGCAAGTCTGCATGGATTCGTCCGACTGGCTACAGGTCAATCATTTCCTCATCCCTTTCATCATTACCTCATCATCCCCACCTCCTGTCGCTTGATTTGTGTGCATTGTTCAAAGATAATCATTTCACCCTTCATCTTTCGCTCGAGGAAAAAGGTTCCCATCATCGAATATCTTCATTTCTTTCTTCCCTTCCGTACATCGAGATGCCCATTTGGGATCATAGAACGAAGCTTCGACTCTAGCCCTCTTCCTCAAACATCTAAACAAAGACGACGGTTTCGCTAATGTGGAAGGTGTTCACGTTACAGAGGATAAAAATGTGGCAATCGGTTACGTTCTCTGGCCATCATATTCATGCGAAAAGTACATCTCCGATATGTAGCAAATGTAATCAGAGAGAGGACAGTAACAGTTTGACGCCGTACGTTCTGATAATCGCTGCATTATTGCTTCCATAAACGACAAAGCAAGCCATGTCTGCTGCTTGCATTATTGTGACCTTTGATGATGCATATCTATGACACAAACATTTCTGCTGACACACGCACATTCCCACATTCTCTTGTCCTTTGATTTTTCTCAGGGCACGCTTCACGACGAATCGGGAATGGACACATCCTCGCCTAATTCGGGCGACATGCTCGCGTGCTCGAGGCCCTTGATGGAGAGGAGGCTCAGGCCACAGCACGACCAGCCCTTGAAGTGCCCGAGGTGCGAGTCCACTCACACCAAGTTCTGCTACTACAACAACTACAGCCTCTCGCAGCCCCGGTACTTCTGCAAGACCTGCCGCCGCTACTGGACCAAAGGCGGCACACTCCGTAACATCCCCGTCGGAGGCGGCTGCCGAAAGAACAAGAAAGCTTCTAATTCTGGCGGTAATAGCAACAATAGTGCCAACAGCAAGAAATTGGCCAACAATGATCATCAAGGATTTGGGGTCCCTAGCCACCCTGGGCAGTCGTCGGCGTCCTCGTCTCGAGGCGACCACTCGACCGACCTCCACCTCTCGTTCTCGCCCGAGGTGCAGCTCTCGCACCTCCACGGCTTGCTCGGCGTCCATGGGACCGCCTTCGCAAGCCCGGGCAACAATTTCTCGGGGCTCGAGAACCCGAGGCCCATCGATTTCTTGGAGAGCAAGGTAATGAGTTATGACAGCAATTTCATGCTGAGTGGAGATAGCCCTCATCCCCACCTGGGCGTGGTTGGAGATCTCGGCTCAACTGGGTTGGCCCCGAGCTTCCACGGCCTCTGTGGCCCGTTTGGGATGGCCATCGATGGTGGTAATAGTGGCAATACTAATAGCTTCATGGAGAATTGCCAGAGATTGAACATGCTCGTCCCATACGATCAGGGCCATGACCAGGAGCACATCAATGCGATGGATGTGAAGCCGAACCCGAAGCTTTTGTCGCTGGAGTGGCAAGATCAAGGTTGCTCCGACGCGAGCAAGAACGGGTATGGCTACTTCAACGGTTTAGGACCGTCTTGGACCGGGATGATGAGCGACTACAACGCCTCTGCGACCAACCCATTAGTCTAAAAATCAAGCTGATGCATAGTAATAGGATTGCTGTTTCCAGATCGGTTATTCCAATTGACTTTGGCATTGACGACACAAGAGTGTGAAACTGAGAAGCCCGAGAGTTCAACAATGGCTGCCTCTTTGAGCATCATCGCTATTGCTGATTATCGTAATTTTCCATTTTCCTTTTTTGGGTCGAGTTTCTTTTTTTGGTCGTCTTTGTTGTCATCTGATGTGGGTCGGTCTAGTGTGAAAGATCTGAATTCAAAGTCGTAGGATTTTGTGGCAACTCCGAGGAAGATATGTCAGTACTCTTTTTTTTGTTCTAGTGCTTAAAATGTGTTAGGAATTGATGTATCCCTATTTTAAGAGGTGCCATCTGTCTTTTTGCTTATGCTGAATGGTATGATTATTGTTATGCTTTTTTGCTCTTACGGGTTTTCTAATGGTGTCTTTCATGGTTTTTAAGGAAAGGTATATAAAGCAGGTTTCTAACAATTAAAAAACCAAAAACACCACCTCCCCTCTCGAGTCATTTGTTAACGATGGCATGTGACCTTTTCCATTCCTCGTTATAAATAACATTAACACAAGCTCGACTCGTATGAGTAAGTTCGTAACACCTTAAGTTCCGACTCATATGAACTTATCTCATGAATGTATTACTCTTGATATGAGCGTAACTTGTACTTTTGACTTTTGAGATAGCGACTTCTCAATATAAAAATTAAGATTACAAAGAATTTTATTGAGAACTATGTGGAGAAGATCGTTGATTTTAAAACTTTTATTTATGTTATCATTTATCAAATACTTTATTTAGTTAAATTTGAGTTTGATTTAAAGTGACAATGGTCAACAATTTGTTGGGTTTTAAAACTTTCAATGAATCACAGAAACATGAATTTTGACATGTGCCTTGGTATAAGTAGATAGCAGGGAAAATATTGTCTGCCTTCCAACTTCAAATTGAATTGAACAAAAGCAAACTTTCGGTCTCATTAATGAGACAAAACTTCCGGGCCATAGTCTAAAATCTAATCTCTACGGGAAGTCTTGATTCTACAAGGGGAAACCCACTATTCTGATCGTGATGCAAAGGGACCCTGATATGGTCATAAATCAATACTGTCTTAAAAGTCCTTGCATGTTTTGTTTTAGCGATTGAAAGAACAAGGTCAACATCGTGAACAAAGTACATGGGCAAGAGCCTTCAATCTACGAATTCTCCTGGCCTGAAATGAGGGATAGAAAACTGCAGAAATAATGGCGAAGGGTCCAAAAAAAATAGGAAGGAAAAAGGGGAGGTGGTTGAGGGGCATTCCGAGAATCGAACTCGGGACCTCTCGCACCCAAAGCGAGAATCATACCACTAGACCAAATGCCCTGCAGTTGTCATTACTTTACAACAAACTGTATATATTTTCTAGTCACAAGCGCTTCGAGCAATGAACAACACGAACCAGACGGCAATTTTTTTTTTTGGTGTTTTCACGATTCTACATTTAGAAGATCTGACATTTTAGAAGGGAATTGTACATATTTGACATCAGATTTGCAAGCTAACAAGGAACACAATAAGCCAATTCAAAGCACTTGTATTATGACCCTGCACCTTTTTATTTCACTCTGTAGAAACCCCGGACATTCAATACCATTTATCTATTCTGCGACGCTATACTAAGCTGAAACCTAGCCGATCTACTCTATGCTCGCATTAAGCTAAGCGGGAGTTCCTCCGCCGTCTATGCCAAGCAGGAGGCACTCCAGGAAATCATCAGGCCTGAACTTATTTGTATAGTATAACAAGAGCATTGGGGATTTTCCATCCCACTGAAGTAATCATTCCAGAATGTGAAACCTCATGCTACAACACTTGCCATATGATGAACTGTTATGGCAGTATTAAAATAAACACTAGAAGAGAACATGTTCAGTCATCTTCCAAGAGTCCAGCCACCACTTTTCATCCTATTATCATCGCTACTCAGAATCACTCTGAAGGGTCTCATCAAAGGATCTATCAAGAGGGCAAACAGGGAAGCAATTCAAGTTCAACCGGCCGGTTCATATTTGCAGACGCAGTCGTATATCTTGCCTTTGACCAGCTTTTCCGCCAATCTTTGATTCTTTACCATCGCAAGCTGTAAGACAGAATCAGTTCGTGCTTGAGACAGGGTGCCGAATATGAATTTCAAGCCATCTGCAGAGACGACCTCGCCGAAGCTTTTCATTTGCTCAACTTTTACTTGAAAATGAGGAAATTTTCCAAATGGATTTTCCCAGACCCACTGGATATTCGCACATAAAACGTGAAATGACACTTTTCAACCTTTGCTGGAGAAATTGCAATAAGAAGCTTTACCTTAAGAGCATCACATTTAAACCGAGCATTCAAGTTGGTGTGGAGAGCTCTACCCATGCCTTCCAGGATAACCTGCATTACAAGAGATCCATCATGTTGACTTTAGACAGCAAGACTAATGGAGTAGCATGATGAACATTCACAAAGCATAAGACTCATTCTACAACATAGAAAGGGGGTCCAAGAAGAAAATTCAGCATGTGACCGCGTAACCTACCAAATCAGCACCCTTTGCAGCGGCAGCTAGCTCAGAGCTGACCTGCCTCAAGTCAATGCATGGACTCCCACATCCATTCTCGACAGCCATCAGAGGAACTGAAGAAGAATTTTCTTTGGAGCCATCCATTGTGTTGGTCATTGCATCTACAAGGAGGCCTCCGGCTTCAGCCGCTCTTCGTAGAATATCACAGTGCTGTAATAGATCACAACAATCATTAGTCTCTCTTGTCAATTATGCATGCTTTAATATTCTGAGCAGGGTGAAGTTGGAAATAACAGAACACTACTATTTATTGTGCAAGCGGTTTCTTTTTTTGAGAAGAAACCCAAATGCAGCAAATACATGATAAAACAAAGTGGTGATTATTGCACTGCCATCCTCTCAGAAGGATGAGAATTTCAAGTTGCTAACCTTGGCAGCCTCAGCAACGATCTCAGGAAGCTCCATAGCAGTTACATCATTCAAAGCAGGGAGTGAGTTTGCAACCAAAACCACCTGCAAATGAATATCATTACACGTTCTTTAAAGCATAGCGAAAGGTTAAGAAATAGTAGCTGAGGCTTTGAGAGAATATGCAAGCCTAGACAAATGCCAATTATTTCAATTGATACTTACGCTTTCCTATACAAGTCAATAAGATGACGCCCATCTTCTTTCGGGAGGTTTCCATTTACATCGGTTGGTCTGGATCTCATTTAGAAGTACAGATGCATGAAATTTCTTAGCCTTTGTAGGTAAAGTTAGATGTCTTCACAAATTTATGTGGGAGGATTAAAAAATGTAAAATGATGCATGATGCCTTACAGTATCCAGATGTGAAAATCAAGCAATCGATTTTACAGGACTAACTTTTTGTTTAACTAGTTCCCAGTTGATGGACTGTGCAAGAAAGACTTGCACCACCTCTCATCTAACAGTTACAGACCATTTCTTTAGTCCCCGAATGTAAAGGAAACCTTACTTCTGTTCCACGTCGCAGGAGCTCTCTCGCCAGCGGAAGCATACCGAGTACGATATCAGCACCTGAATTGTCCACAAAGAGTAAAGCTCTTTTGTGCGGGCGAGGCTTCTGGGACCCCGATCCCAACATTCTCTCCTTAAATTCATCAAAATCATCCACCTACAACATGAAAGTGGGTCAAGTATTTCTTTTCCCGAATCTGTGTCAGAGTTTAAGTTCAATCCACTTACCCGCCACGGTCTTTGCATCTTATTCCGACTCATTCTATAAATTTCAATAATCGTTCCCTTGTGATAGAGATCCACACAGGCTCGAGATCCCCAGTCAAATATATTTGCTGCTAGGACACCTTCAATTAGAGTAAGCAGCCGTGTTTCCTGCAATCAAAGTACACGCTTCAGTTGATAAAATGATTAACTTGTTACAGTACGATCTCATTTTTCCACAAATATCGACACCTGATTAATTTTTCTTTGGTTGCAATTGAGGCTACAGATAGATGAGCCAAAAATTAAAACTGCAGATTTTCAGAACTCTGAACACTTCAATATTCTTTCCAGTAAGAAGGGAATAGTAGAGCTGTACTCATATTACACTCACCTCACTCATACTATCAAGCTCCATCAACAAGTCCGGCAAAACAGCAAGCGACGCCTCATTTTCCCTGTATTTTTAAGCCAAAGAAAATAAAAAACTAAAAGTGGCACTGCATCCACGCTCACACACATAATTCTTTAACCTGCCTGACAGTGTGATTGAATCTGTTTCTTCTCCCTAGTGTCCTTGTTAGACTTTTATTGGCATTTCCAGTATCACAACAAAAGTTGTCAAGTGAGATAACTACTCTAATGACATTCGGAACCACCCAAACTACTGACAAAGACATTCACCGTCTCCAAAGAATATTCCTCCCCAAATCATAAGCCTCTCATGTTATGTTGGAGAGGACTCGCATTGGGGCTTAGGTAACAAATATATCTAGCAAGCAGAAACAATCAGGGTTATTAGGGTCCATTTGGTACCTAAAGTTCAGTTTCTGTTTTCATTTGAAATTAAAATAGAAAAATAATGAACAAATGCACCTGCGACTGTGGGTTTCTTTGTTTTCAGGAGAACTGGAGAACAAAACGTCATTTTCCAAAGGAAATGAGAAAAAAAAATGGAATTCCACAGAAAACTTATAATGCGTAAAGTTGAAAATACCAATAATATTATAATAGAAGTGGTAAAATGATAATAATAACCAGCTTTCAGGAAATTATCAATGTAAACTTTTCCAGAATTAAAATTACCCTTGTTCACACGGATAAACATTTCAGCTGTCAATAAAATTTTACCTTTGCTTTATGCTTCTATAAGCATCGACAAATTGAAACTCCCTTAAACATTCTTCCCTTAATTCCAAAAGATTGGCCAATCCCAACTTTCCATAAGCAGCAGGCTCCTCCATCAACCTGCTTGGCAGAGTATTATTTGAATTTTACCGCTTCACTTATGACAATCAATCAAGAGTGAAAAATATTCAATCAGGCATTAGAAAAAAATGGCAACCAACAACATTGGAGACGAGAGTAAATTCACTCAAGTTCATTACTTCATCACACAAGAAAACAAGCATCGACGTATATGAATGAGATGGGAAGTTAAAGCTGTGTAAAGCAACTATAGTTATAGGAACACTGTGATTTCATATATTGGAGAAACAACTTAGAGGAATTATAAGTTGATCAGTCATTTACATTGCCCTCTCTCCAAAAGTCACAATCCGTGCACCAAAAACTCAGTTGGAAGCTGCTGATTTGCATGTGAAGATACTCAACTCAACAGTGGCTAACTGACACCGAAAAAAAAAAGAAAAAGAAAAAAAGGGCAGCTAAGCCTTATTTCACCAAATGGGTCAGCCATATAAATTCTTTTATGTCATTGCCCTCTAATATGTACCAGTCCTGTGTACCTTAATTAAAAACAAGTGCAACCTTGATGAAAAACCAGAACATTCTTACTAGTATTTAGTGTATTGATTGTCCCACATATTTTTTGACATCTTTAGCGGTTTTTTAGGATATTAAGATTGCAACAAGATTTTTAAGATAACCAGTTTTATGCATCTTAAAATTGTCATAATAAATTACAAAACACAAAAGATGTCTGAGTGAACTAAAAAGCCATTCACATGAAAAGGACATTTAAGTGGATCAAATGGACTCTTTGTTGCATCACCAAGCTGTGTCTTCGTTTGCATTGTCATATCAAATTCATGAAGCAATGGCGGAGTGAATCTTCCCAGTTTTCAATCATCCAGAGAACAGACACATACAAATTAATAAAATATTAACTTAGTCCACCTTGAGAAATACGGATGCTAAGAAGATGAAGGTAACTAATGGGATCCCTTCAATTCATTAAAAGGATAGACTCAACTCTTTTCAACACTCAAAAAGAGAACTACACACAAACTCTTAAGACACTTTTCATATACTCATCCAACCACGGTCCAAACTTGTGGTATCAAAGATCCAATTCGTCTCCTAGTCTTGCACCAATCACACAAAATGACAAGCACGTGGCAGAAGTATACAATTACCGAGCCAAATGAGCTGAAAAAGCACGGGCAAATGCATCGCCCCTCCTGTTGGCGTCATCAGTTCCTCCTTCACTTGCAACTGCCTGCAATTCACATAAAGTACAACTCTATAACCATTGTAGATCTGCTTATTATAAGCTTGAACCATGAGCTTTGTTAAAACTTAAAGATGACTACAAGCAAGGACAGAGTGTTGAAAATTTCAAAATTATTTTGTTGGGGGTTCTGCTGCAGTTACTGCAATGCAGGGTCCAAGGAGGGTCAGATGCAGGCAACCCTTACCTTTCATGTGATTGGTATAGTACCTCAATTCAAACCCAATTTTCAGTTTCCCGACATCCCCCAGTACGAGAAAAGCGCACTATCACTCCTTACTTAAATGGGATTCGCTTCAGAATTGGCCCAGGTCTGACCATCAGTATTTGCTCTCAGGGGTGCAAGTGCATGCACTCTTCGCATGCACATGAGAGAGAGAGAGAGAGAGAGAGAGAGAGAGAGAGAGAGAGAGAGAGAGAGAGAGAATTTCATTGGCCACAATCAGAACATGTAGATACCTTATCAACAAGGTCTGGTAAATGCTCCAGCAGCACGGTGAACCAGTATCTTCAATAAGATTTACACGAATCAGCTAAAGAGATACTCATAGTCATATAAATGAAATTGACACTGAGTAGTGTTTGCAACTTACTCTAGCTCACCAGTCTCTGATAGGTCAATAGTGTTAGGTTCATATCTGCAAAAATTGCATGAAAACATAGAGTTACAAGAGCATTTGGAAATATGCAATCACTGGTATCTAGGAAAGTTATAAGTTCACGATGCATAACATAATGGAAGAATATTATAAAAGAAGTCATTAAGGAATTTAGCGTATTAGGCTCCAGTAAAGACATTGTTTTTTATTTGTTTGGTCAAACAGTAGAGACATTGTTTAATTCATCAAAAAAGGAGTATCAATAAAAAGATTACTAGCATACAATTGGAATAAGGAAAATCACTACATAGGAATAAAGTAAAGTGCACAGATGTTTGAAAGCCATCCATATACAAATGCATGCGATAAAGGCTCATTGTCTTTTGGTCAATTCGGAACTGTTATCTCAAAGATGTCACGAAATATGTCCAAAAGTGTAAGAACTCCTCTTTTGGGACTATTTTCAACAGAATAAGCATGAGCTCATTATAGATGAGATTGATTGCAAGATAAAATAACTAATTAAAAAGAAAAAAGTGTGCGATCTTGCATACGTTTTTGCATCAGCCAACAAGGGAAACACCTCCAGAGTTGGCACAAGATGAAGAACACCAACATTTAAAGCACTTGCATCAGAGCGCAGAGTACCTCCCTTTGATGAAGGCACTTCAAAGCCTCCAAGTCCGGTGGTTCCAGGTTTAGCCATTGGTACAGGTGCAGTAATCTCAGTTCCCCTCAGCACAAACTTCTCCATCCATGAAATCTGCACTTTAATCCATAAGCATGAGGCATTCTGTGAAATTCTGCAAAGTATTGATAACCATCAAAGCTGGAGGATAAAAAACACCAAAGGGATTGCTCAATATCTCCACTGATATATATATATGGCATAGTGAGACAAAAAAGGAGAAATCTAGAAGGGCGTGACTTGGAATCAAGAGAAAATAATCAGGAATATGGCATAGCGAGACATATTCACTAAACACATTATCTTGTAAATGCTTGTGGTTGATGTTTTTTTTCTCTGTCTTGCAAATACTTGCAATTGGTGTATGTTTCTCTACCCCAGCCAATACAGGCATGTTCCTTTATTGAACTCAATATCTCATACAAAAATGATTACACATACGAATACATAGACCAGTATAACAGAGAAAGACCTTTGGGAAATTCAACAAAACTAACACAAGAAAATCGACATTGACAGCCACATGAGCTCAAAAGTACAGAATATTTTGTCGCTTAAACTTACTTTTTCCTACAACCAGTTTAAGCAACCCACACTGGCCCTGACAACATCTCCTGAATGGTTGTGGTTCCACACTTGAGTTCATTTAAAAACAAATTCATTCATACGAGCTTTATACATAATAGCAGTCAACTTATTACAATAAGACGAAAGACACAACACAAAAGGCTGATCTTTATTCTCTTCTTTACTATTGGTTAACTGCATATTTCTACTTTAAAGATTCTCTTGGCCATCTACATGTTAATGACTAGCTTTTCTCTTCCTGTGGGCACGTGGTTGTTGGGAATTGTGCTTTAAAGATGCCTGGACACTGATATAGAATACCAAGGATATAAAATAAAAAAAGAATCTTCACCAAAAGCCGCTTTAACACGCTTTATACTCAAAACTAGTGGCAACCTGAAATTGATTAGCCACCATGTCCTTTTAGCTTTTCCAGAACAATTTAATACAAAAGTAGGAACCTATTCTGTAAAACAGTATTGTTCCGCCTCCTAGTCAACTCGCTTATGCAATCTGTTCCCCGACTTTCTTTATTCTCGAATACTATCTGCTTGAAAACCGACCATAAAGCCAATGGGCCCAGTATCAAAACCTTGCTAAACAGGTTCAAGACAAGTTTCAAACTACAATCCATCATAGCAGTGAAATTTAACCATTATCTAATATGAAAAAATCCTTAGCAGGCCTTTGAAATTTTTCATACAACACGATGTCACTTATGTTAAATGCAAAAGATTGACAAGCAGCAACAACCATGGAAAAAGTTGTTGAACAGGAGAAACTTTTTCACTTGTCAATAACAAGCGATAATGACATTAAACTTCTGGTGAATTGAACAAAATATCTGTTCACAGATTATGTCAAAATTTTAGACAAGCTCTCATGCAAAAGACTGTCTAAGCAATAAAGGCCCTTGAAGACATCTTCATCAAACTTCTAATTCAAGTCAAAAGAAAGCCATTAAAGAGAATTTAACCAAATAAAGGAAGAATTGAAAGTTCTAACAGAAACTATATTTTGGACAAGTTCAAAAGATTGTAAGAATGCTCTCACTGAACCAAAGCACGGACTTTGATCCCCGCTACAGATGAACGGATGAGGAACCCAAACGGCTTATTAAAGGGATACAGATGATTCTCTCTTCTCTAAAATGAGGAGCTCCAAAGAAAACCAGATCCTCCAAAAAGTTAAAAGTGAGCGAAATCACACAAGCAACAAACCATGAAAAGTTTAATCTCATAGTTTCAGAGCTGTCAATATGTTCAGGAGAGCTTCTAGCTGTTCTAACTAAACTTGCCTTCTCATTAAGATCTGCCAGTGGCGGGCCATGAATCTTTCCTCCTGTATATGGTGCACCCATTGGAAACCTTTCCACTAACTGATGGACCATTAAGTCATCAAGACCATGCTTTTCATAGCTCATAAATGCACCTAATGCTCCCAGAAATCCTTCATGCCGCAGAAACATTGCTTGCATCTCCCCTCTTGACCTGCGTAATGCAACATTATTTAGCTCTGAATAACTGATAATCAAGACAGATAAAAGAATGCACTCAACTTTCCACTATAGCTATTTTCAAAGATCATGAATAAGCATAGTAGACCATAAATTTACCAGAAATGAACTGCAAAAGATATTGTGTCCATTGTATAAGCATGGCCCCTAATAAAGAAACCACCAAAAAAGATTCGCTTTAACCCGAACCTTAGTGCATTCAAGTAAGATATCTGCACAGAAAACGATCAAATCAGAAGCAAAGAAACAATAGGCACAGTGAGAATATCGCCATCACAAATTAGATTCCAATACAATGTAAAACCACATGCCTTCATTAAAAGAAATAATTGCAAGATCAGTCAACTAAACGAAGCCGAAGAAGTTATTCCATATATCCATTCTCATATCTATGGCGACTCCAAGAAAAATTTCAGAGTGCACATCCAGAAGAGGCACTGTGTATTATACCATTTCAAAAATATGAAATAATGCTACCTTCCTAAGATAGAAATGAGTGGTTAATCTTTCCAATAAATATTTGAAGTGATTTGATCACCCTAAAAGCCCTTGTCACTCGTAACTTTCTTTGTTAAGATTGAACCCTAACTAGGCTAAATTGTTCAATTGCCAAATCATATCATCTTGGTGCATTATCCACCAGAATGAATGGAATAATAAGTAGACGGCACTCATATATGTTTGCATGACCTCTTGTTATTCTCTGGTCTAAATGAGAGATTTGCGTAAGGTAACTAAGGAAAGGCCAAATCGATGGAGTACAATCAAACTCATGCCGGTGGTCACGATTGTAGTGCCATCAAATTGAAGAGTTAACGAGCAAAACAGGATCCTCTCTGCTTGCAACTTACCTGCCCAATATTGTAAGATATCATTCGCAAGAGAGACAAGGATATGTCTTCGGGTCTGTAGTCTTCGAGCTCCTTGTTTTCAGAAATAACCTTACCGAAACTTGAAGCAATCGTGGATGCAGATAGACCAATCTGGGATTATTAACAACATGAGAAGCTTGATCGCGTGGATGAACATGTGATAACACAATATTCAGTGACATGAAAAAGGAAATAATTTTGACAGACATACATGGTATATCGCCTTTCGTAGAACAAATGTTAGCAAAAAGCTTCAATGGAAGGAACCAAAACCAAGCCATACCTTAGAGTAATCCATACCGCCATATATGTCTCCAACAAGCATGTCAATTGTCCTGTTGTCTCCCCTTTGACTTAGCTCTAGCAACTCATCAAAACTGAAGGACAAAAAACAATCCATGGCACTAGCTTAGGATAACTTGAAGATAGATAGAAGGAAACAAGGGCTATCAAGATTGACCTTTTGCACTTTGTTAACAGCCTTCCCAAGCCCCAGTATGTACCTCCACCAACATTAGTACCACTGACTCGTTGAAATTTCCCATCGCCATCAACCTGTGGCAGGCAACATTAAAAACACTAACTATGAACATATAAGCTTAAGCACAGCCACAGAAAAAGATGATAGATTTACCTTAATCATGCTTACACCAGATCCGATATTAACGAGGAGATAAGGAAACAACTCATTGTGGTCGATTTGCACAAATTCTTTCTGACCCTCAATGTGAGTAAAAGCTTCATGACGAATTGCCTAATTACAATAAGTAGCACTGTTAGGAGGCTCCAAGAGACTTGAGAATGACATCACAACCAAGACATATGAAAATATTAATGCAAGTGAACTAATGTTCCTCCCATGCTGGCAGAGCTGTAGTTGAAAAATACATAATTCTGCAATTACTAACGCTGGGCGAATGACTAAACAATAGCAGAGCTCCACCTAGAAAATTTTGCTGTAGTTGATAATTGAAATGCTGAAGATTGGAGGCAAGAAAATTGAACAGAAAACAAAAAAAGGCACTTCACAACATGTTCAGGCACATAGGTTGATTCACGTGCTCAAACATGTCCACGTGATAAAATCTATGATGTTGAAAATAAACTTCAGGCTTCAGTTCCCTGTCTCAGGAAAAACAAAATAATGGACAAGGATAAAATCTAGCTGAAAGGGGAAGTGGAAAAGATTCACCTTGAGCAAAAAGTTTGCCCCAGCTACAAGACAATCCATTTCATCTTCTTTTTCAATACTAACACCAAGCCTTTCTCTAAAGAGATCTGCAAATTTGAATGCTCCGCCTCCTGTGGCCTTCTCACAAGAACAATGCGTTAATGGCTTGAGTTTCACCAGAATAGAACAGAAAGGAGGAAAATAGTCCCTTGCCACGAGTCTGACTACATCAGAGATTGTCCATTTTCAAAAACATCCAAATGCCGATCAATGAAAATAAACAAAAAGCAAACGCAAACACACGCACGCACACACAATCTTTATCAGATAAGAGAAGACTCTTACTATGTCAATGTTTGTTAATTTTCAAAAACATCCACATGCCACGAAAAGGGCACACGAACGCATATACAAACATACTTGTAATGAAGATATATCTTGACAAAGGTACTAAAGGAACTTATGGTTTTCCTACTAATGATGATAGGATGAATAATGTGAGGAAAAATTAGGTGGGCCTTTTGAGGAAAAATATAATCAGCACCCCACAGAAGACGATAAGAAACATAACGTCCACGATTGAATAACTGTTGTCCAAGTTAATATTATACTTTTTTCGCTTAGAAAGGGACGGGAAGTTAATATTATCATCCCTAACATCCACAATGTGTCACTGTAAGCTTCTTCTCAAAACACAGAAGAGGACTGCAACCAACATGAACAAAAACTAGGTCCTTTTTTCCGTTTCATGTATACTATAAACATTGTGTTCTTTAAATCAGATAAAAAAAATTTCATCAAGTGCAAAAAGTCTACATCTTCAAGAAAATTAAACAAACTTAGGTTTTTCTCCATTCATTTCGCAAGGATCACATAACATGCCACAATAGTCATATGAACAAGCGTTCACCTTTATTACAGCATTGTCAATGGGTTGTGAATTGGGAGACTCGGCACCCCAATGACGAGAATCTACATCTGTGACAACAAAACAAACCAGAAAATCAGTGTAAAGAAAGGAGAATAGTGTTGAAGATATAGGATTAAATCACAGAACGAGACCAATATCTAGATAGGAACATAGATAAGTTGCAGAGATGACAGACCAAAAATCTAATACATCGTGTTAGCAATTGCTGATAAAATATGCTCACTCAAGCAAATGTGCCAGTGTACTGGAAAGGACTTGAGCATGCACAAGCACGTGGTGCACACACAGAGAGCATGACAGCATAAAAGAAACGTACCACTGCGATGAAGCTGCTTGGAGTCTATAAAATCCAGGCACTCATTTAACTTGTTTGTCTCAAATTTAACAAAATGGAGCCTTCCACCTAAAATAGGGTAGCTTCTCCTGTTGCCATTGGATATCCCTAGTCTCTGCTTCACAGTTTTCTTCCTCTTATTGACAGTGGATTGGTCCTCGTGTCTTGAAAAGTACACCAATTTGATGAGAGAACCTGCCAGAACATCAACACATCATCAATTTGACGATGAATGGGGCTGCTTTAGAAGCCAACATTTAGTACAAGCAACTGATGAAGAAAAGGCTCTGACTGCAAGGCAAGGCTCTGACTGCAAGGCCCCTGTTCGCCCTTCCAAGTGCTAGAATATATTCTATCATTTACTTTTCGTCAAAAAACTCAACTTTGATCTTTTCTCAAGTGTTAGAAGAACTTATATCATCCATTTCTGATTATGCATTCTATATAGTGTATCAGGTATAGCCCCTCCAAATAGAAAGCACTATCAAGCACTTCTGAACCACCAGCTGCAAACAAGATCTCACGACATATTAGTAAAGATAAACTAAAGTGTTCTTGGAATCAGCAGGGAAAGTAAAAGGATTCGATATGTCCACTCTGGAGAAAAGGAAGAAGTTTTAAATTCGCTGGAGAGGGAAAAAGAAAAAAGAGTGGAAATTTGCGTGCATAGTATATCCTCAGAAATATGAAGTCAACGTCCAGACGGTGAAAGTATCTCCATCAAATTGAGGTAACAAGTAATATAAACACAAAAACAAGTTAATAACAATGAAAAGCTTTAATACTCAAGAGCAGAGTGATGCATAGTCTCTACAAAAACTTCATGCAGTGCATATCATTTTTTTCTCTCTCTGTTGTCAAACCTTACACTTCCCATAGAAGAATAAAGTAATGCAATCGATCCAAATACGGCTACACAAATTAAATGAGAGAAGGGCGAAAAGATGAGGGAGCTAATAAAACACCAACACAGTTTGAAAAACTTAGGAACAATAAATCCTGCAATCTTGTTCCGTACCTCCAATGTCAAGAGCCAAGTGAGAGATATCATCGGACTGATTAGGCAAAAGAATTGTGGGATCTCTCTCCTCAAAATTCCCTTGAATTGCTGCTTTGCTGAGGTCAAGCTGCGGCCTTGAACTAGACCTGTGGATGGAATTGCTGGCCAGATGAGCCATGGAATCACCCTCAGTGTCCTGGCTTTTGTCTACAGTATTGCTGCTTTCATGGGCATCTTCTTGATCTTTTATGTCGTCATTTCCAAGGGAGCTCCGGTAGTCTTCGCTTGGACCAGCCATCAATCCCAAAAAACCAAAGGGGGTTTTTCACCAACCTAACCCCCCAACTGTTTGTGGTCAGAGCAGACCTATCGGACACTTTGTCATCTACCGCAAGAAAACATGAAAAAGGAAACAGAGAAAAGCCCCAATCTTGATTACATATAAGGAGAAGAGTTACGGAGGAAGAAACGATTAATATATTCAGAGAACGAATGAGCAATTAGGGGATAAAAGAAGAGCCTTACAAACAAATTCAAAGTTCACTGTGTCACCTTGGCAGAGTAGGATAGCTTCCTTTGACCTGTAGCTTAAGGCAATAAAGAAATCCTCAAATTGGAATGAGGCGAGAGAGAGAGAGAGAGAGTGATAATGACTACTAAAAAGATAACGCATCGACCACCAACCCGGCAAAATAAGAAAAGGGCATGGATCAATGATCGAGGTGAACCGAAAAAAGATGAGATTGGATGAAAGCAAGAAAACCCAAGAGAAGAAGCGAGGCAAAAGCTATGGCGACTCTGTTTTTGACTGGCGGAGCTCGAATGGATGAAAACTGGGGGGGCTTCGAATTGTGCGAGAAGAAGAGAGAGAACGGACCTTGAATTTGGAAGAACGGTGTCAGATCAGAAGCCAATCCAAACAAATTCGAGGAAATGATTTCCGGGTGTTCGCGAGTTCGCGATTTGATTAAGGGGCAAGATTGGTTCTTGGTCCTCCTCGTACATACGTTGTTCTTGCTTCGCTCTGGTCCGAGAATATGTCCGCTCGCGTTTTCGGTGCGTGAGGAGAGCCACGATTGACAACACAAGCCAATCTAATGATAATAATAATAATTAGGATTATCAGCTGGCGAACACAGAATAATAAATAAGAAACAGATTTTGGGTAAACATAAATTTTCTCTTCAGAAGAAAATATGCGTGATTGAAGAGAAAATCGGTCGTTTCTAATCACAAAAGATGTGACACTATGAATATTATATTATATATATATATATATCGAGATTAAAGTAGGAGAGTGATATGATATGCGGACCTTCGTGGTAGGTGCAAGAATTGAAGGGTTTGGACACACTACCAAACGCTCGATGTTAGGGGTGTCCATGAGTCTCTAGGTCCCATGTACTTCAAAAGTTCATATGAGTACGTCATTTTGCCTCTCGAAAATAAATTTGAGTAATGGTCAATTTATTTGAAGGGAAACTATTTTCGAGAAATTGTTTTCTGACTTCTAGTGCTTGGATGACGGGAAACTAATCAATTATAAAAAAAGTTTTTCAGGAATTGAAAACAATAAATTTAGATTGAGCATACGTTTGTTTCACCGAAAACTTCACGATTAAGGAAAATTATTAATTTTACATTTATTTGGTAGTTTAGGAAAATTGATTTCATTTTTGTCAAAATGGGAAAACTTCATGATTAAGGAAAATTATTAATTTACATTTATTTGGTAGTTTAGGAAAATCGATTTCCTTTCTGTCATAATGGAGAGTCGCTTTTAGTGATCTAAGCTTTGTTATTTTCAATTCATATAAAACGTTTCGAGATCGATTAGTTTTCCGTCATCCAAATATCGAAAAGTAAAAAATAATTTCCTCAAAGCGGTTTTCTTTCTAACAAATGTACCTTGAAACTCATTTCAATATCTGTAAAGAGAGCTCCTCTTATTCATAAGGATCCACTGACCAATATAATCCCCGAAGTGCTAGGAAGAGGACAGCCTCGGCACCTAAAATCTTTATGGACGTCACCACACAGAAGTCATTGCTTTATGCAAAGCAAGAATCGACCCATCTCAATATCAAATGATCCCTTTCAGGATCAGCACTGCATTCATCACGGCGCTAAGCATAACATAAAACGTACACACGATATTCGTACAAGTATATTACAGGTAATACATCTAGTGACAGTGAGCTCGTCCTTATATTTACATCGGCATCTCTATATCTCAAGCTTCAACCGCCTTTGGATTGGCATCCGGACCGCCATTCGATTTGGCATGTTTAGCTTCGTAATCTTTTACAGCTGCCACGACGGCATCCTCGTCAAGCATGCTACAGTGCAACTTTACCGGTGGAAGGGCAAGATGTTTTGCGATTTCCCTGCAAAGGAAGTTGCAATCGCCTCGGAATCGGCCAAGGGCCAAGATGGAGCACAAGATCGAGACTCGACTACACATAGCTAGCTGCGGAAGATCATGAACAGAAAAGCAAATAAGATAATTTTCTATTCTAAAAGGCCTCCCAAGGAAACATTAAAAAAAATAAAAAATAAGGGGATAAAAAAAAAAATCATGCAATATTTCAATGGATAAGACAGTCCTCCATTTTTCTGCCTTTCACCCATTCAGTAGCTGAAAAGATGATAAAGAGAATTCAGTCATCAATAAGTGCAGAAAAACAACATAGCTTGACAAAATACAGACATTGCAAAAAAGGGTAAGACATATCGAGCTCGAAATAGATAGTATGTGCCTTCACTCCTAATTTCTGTACAGATATTTTCTTTCCATCTCACCATCTTATCTCGATGTAGAACAGCTTAGCCGTGATTATCTTGAAGAATGTGATCGTAATGCGCCGGAAATCTCCAGCTTTTCGATTAGGCTTTTTTTACTTTAGGCAATTTCGAATTATCAATATTTCGTTTGATTTTATTAGATAAGATTAGATTTGATTTGCTTTTGATGTTATCTTCATTAATTCAGATATCTTTAGGAGTCCTATCATTATAAAAGGACGTCCAAAGCTTTGTATTGGATATTATGAAATTGAATTGAATTCCAATCAAATCGTGAAAGAGTTTTCCAAGTTATCGCTTCTATCTCAAGGCCATTTGATATCGAGCGGTGTTTCTCCCGTGACGATGGTGAATAACGTGAATGTCAATCTCTCCGCCGCCGAGGGCCGTGGAAAGCGAGCCCATTACGCGGGCTGATTTCACCGGTTCGTGGATCAAACCGACGGAGGTTTCAAGAGATCCTTGATGCCATCCAAATGCTTGTCCACAAACCATGCGTACCCGGCTGCTCTTCCAGTGAGCGAATTCCCCGTCGTTCGTGATCCCGAAGATGCTATGGGGCGTGGAGGAATTCCCCCGACATAGGCGTCAAGACTATGTCGAGGATACGGAAGACAAAGACGATGATTTCCAAGAGATGCAAATTGTGTGGTGGTCGCCGATACTGTGGGATTCCAGGGAGGAGATGTTCGTGGGAATCGACGTCGGGAGGATATCGACGAGATCATGAGCAAGTATCAACTAAAGGTAGATCTCCTTACTTTCAATGGGAATTTGGATATTGAAGATTTCCTTGATTGGCTTTGGGAGGTCGAAAAATTCTTCGATATTTGGATATTGGATCGTGAAACTTGTGGCGCTGTTGAAGGTGAGCGACGACGTGAGGATTAGGATCGCCAAGTGAAACTTGTGGCGACAAGTTGAAGGGTGGCGTCCGACTTGGGGAAACTAATTGACGCGACATCGACAAGGCAAGGCTCTATTCGATCATGGGGTCAAATGAAACGAAGTTGAAGAAGAGGTTCCTCCCAATGGACTATGAGCAATCTGTTATTTCAGCAATTCCAATTGCCGACAATCGAATAGATCGGTCCAAGCTTATACTAAGAGTTCCTTCGACTCTCCGCTCGCAATAACCTGGATGAGTCCGAGGCACAACAAACCGCTAGGTACATTAATGGTTTGCGACTTAATATCCAGGATCGGGTTTCTTTGCATCGACTATTCTCTCGTCGAAGACGCCCAGGATATGGTGCGAAAAATTGAGGTGCAATTGGAGAGGACTAGCCCTAGTACTCGTGGTAGCAATTATTCGGGTCGTGGGTCATTCTGAGAAAGGAAGACTGACTGATGTTGCAAGTTCTTCTAGTCAACAAACACTTGATTCGAGCCGAGTTCCAGTGGTACTACCGGGATGCCTAAGGAAGCAAGAAACAATGCACTCCCAAGAACATCCATATGCCAAGTAACCGATCTCCCAATCGTAATACCCGAATCCAATGCCATGCGCCAACGATCAAGTGCTACAATGTAACGAATTTGGCCACGTAGCGATTGTCCTCATCGTAGAATGGCCAATATCGTTGAACATGACGAAGATGTGTATGAGGAAGATTGGGAAAATGAAGAAGAAGTGGGAGTGGAAGATGAAGTGGGCGAGCAAGTTAATTGTGTTGTGCGTCGTCTATTGCTTGCTCCGCGGACGTGAAGATACCCAATGGAATCGGCTTTTCCGCGCCATGTATCGTCAACGGCAAAGTATGCGATATCATTATTGACAGCGGAAGTTGCGAGAACATAGTGTCAAAGGCCTTGGTGGATCACTTGCAACTAAAGACGGAGCCGCATCACGCGCCCCTACACGATCGGGTGGATACGCAAGGGAGAGTAACTTAAGGTAAACCAATTATGCCGTTTACCTATTTCGATCGGGAAATCATATCAAGATACTATTGTCCGTGATGTTGTGGAGATTAATACGTGTCATGTTTCCTTGGGTCGGCCATGGCAATATGATGTTGATGCTACACACCGAGCTAGGAGAATACGTATTCTTTTGTGTGGCAAAAGGACTAAAATTACTTTGAGACCAAAGAGTAATTCCCCGAGATTGTGAAGAAGCGAATGCAGGTGGATTATAATGAACATCCGAAAGCGTGAAGGGATGTATATGATTGTGGACAAGGGCGACCAGCAAGTTGTGGTTCGTGTTCCCGACATTCTTAAGCCCTTATTAAAGGTATTCGTGATGTTATGCACGAGGATTTACCCGACGATTACCTCATTTGAGAGATATCCAAGATGAGATTGATTTTCTTCCAAGAGCTAGTCTTCCTAATTTGCCGCATTATCGGATGAATCCGAAGGAGAATCGATTCTACAGAGCAGGTGGGAGATCTCCTTCGAAAGGGCTTCTTGCGTGAAAGCAAAAGTCCATGTATCACGCCAAAGAAAGACGCACATGCGATGTGTCTGCCATTAACCTCACAAGATAGTTCATTCCACGACTTGCAAGAGAAGACGGCACGCATTTTCGAAGATAGACTTCGGCTGATAGCTCTATAGTCCGTTCGCATCCGTCCGGCGACGAATGGAAAACGAGCCTTCAAGACAAGTGCAGTGTTTGTATGAATGGCTTGTCATGCCGCTTTGGACTCACTAACACGCCTAGTACTTTCATGCGTTTGATGACTCGTGTTCTCAAACCTTTTCTTGGCAAGTTTGTGGTAGTTTTCTTTGATGATATACTCATATATAGTCCGGACGGGCGTCAACACATGGAGCACTTGAGGGATGTCCTACTAACCTTGCAGCAAAATAAATTGTTCATTAATCTGAAAAAGTGTAGTTTCATGACAGTAACGCCTCTTGTTTTTGGGTTTTGTTGTTGGCGCGGATGGACTTCACGTTGATGCGATAAGGTGGCCGTGATTCGCAATTGGCCAGTTCCAAAGAATGTTGGCGAGGCTCAAGTTTCCATGATCTTACAACATTCTATAGGCGTTTCATTCGAGATTTCATTATTATGGCCCCGATCACCGACTGTTTAAAGAAGGGCAAATTCCATTGGGGAGAAGAAGCTTCGCCGCTTTGCTCTTATAAAAGAAAACTCTCCACGCGCCCGTATTGATGCTCCCCGATTTTGAGAAAGTGTTCGAGCCGGGATCGTGATGCTTCCGCTGTCGGGATTGGCGCTGTCCTTTCCCAAGAAGGTAAGCCTATAGCCTTCTTTAGTGAAAAACTTAATGAAGTTCGCCGCCGTTGGTCGACATATGAGCGGGAATATTATGCCGCCGTGCGAGCTATAAAGCATTGGCAATCCTATCTTTATCAGGAATTTGTTCTTAACACCGATCATCGTGCTCTTAAATATATCAAGAGTCGAAGTACTTAAATCGAATGCATGCACGATGGGTTTCTTTTCCTGGAGCAATTTAATTTTGTGCTTCGTCACAAAGCAGCCATTTAAATAAAGTGGCAGATGCGCCGAGTCGACGTGTCGCGACACTCGTGACCATGCGCACCGATGTTGTCGGTTTTAATTACCTATGTTCTCTTTATCCCGAGGATGATGATTTTGGTGAGATATGGGAGAAGTGTTCAAACAGTTGTTATGGCGATATGATAATTCAAGAAAATTCTTGTTCTTTGGCAATAGATTATGCATTCCTCGTGGTTCCTTGCGTGAACAACTCATTCGAGAGCTTCATGGTGGTACTCTCGGCGGACATTTGGGGTGAGATAAAACTATAGCCTTGGTGGAGGAGCGGTACTATTGGCCTCAACTAAAGCGAGACGTGGGGCGATTTGTCAATAAATGCTACATTTGTCGGACCGCTAAGGGCCACTCTCTAACACCGGTCTTTATACCCCCTGCCTATTCCTTTGGGTCCTTGGGTAGACATATCGATGGACTTCGTGTTGGGACTTCCTCGCACCCAACGGAGTTTAGATTCTGTTTTCGTGGTGGTTGACCGGTTTTTCGAAGATGGCGCACTTCATCCCTTGTAAGAAAAATTAAGATGCTTCGCATGTGGCAAGTTTATTCTTTCATGAAGTAGTTCGTCTCCATGCCGTGTGCCGAAGACAATCACTTCCGATCGTGACACGAAATTTCGAGCCATTTTTGGCATACTTTATAGAGTTTGTTTGGGACCGATTTACAAGTATAGTAGTTCTTTTCATCCCCAAACGGATGGTCGACGGAAGTTGTGAATCGTACTATGGCGGATATCATTCGCCGCTCTACAAGTGATATGCCTAAGCAAATGGGACCTGTATCTTGCTCCCGCTGAGTTCGCCTTCAACAACTCGGTTAACCGCTCTACGGTACATCTCCCTTTCGTGTCGTTTATGGGCGTACACCACAAAGATACTCTAGATTTGGTTCCCTTGCCCAAGATTCCCGGCTATAGTGTCGGGCGGAGAATTTGGCGACCGAATTAATGAAGTCCAAGTCGCTGTTGCTAGTCCATTGGTCGCTTCTAATTCAAAGTATAAGGAGGATGCCGACAAACGGCGACGTTCGAAAATTTTTGAGGTAGGTGATGAGGTAATGGTTTTCTGCGAAAGGAGCGTTTTCCTATAGGTACTTATAATAAACTCGAAGCACAAGAAGATTGGTCCTTATCGCATCCCGAAGAAGATCAACGACAATGCCTATGTAGTTGACCTTCCCGTGATCTCAACATTTCCCTACATTTAATGTGGCAGACTTATTTGAGTATCATGCTCCCGATATACCCCTTTATCCTAATCATAACTCGAGGGCGAGTTTTCCAAGAGGGAGGGAATGATGTAGAACAGCTTAGCCTGTGATTATCTTGAAGAATGTGATCGCGTAATCGCGGAAATCTCTAGCTTTTCCGATTAGGCGCTTTTTTACTTTAGGCAATTTCGAATTATCAATATTTCGTTTGATTTTATTAGATGAGATTAGATTTGATTTTATTAGATAAGATTAGATTTGATTTGTTTTGATGTTATCTTCATTAATTCGGATATCTTTAGGAGTCCTATCATTATAAAAGGACGTCCAGCTTTGTATTCAAATATTATGAAATTGAATTGAATTCCAGTCAAATCGTGGAAGAGTTTTCCAAGATATCGCTTCTATCTGCGTCATTATCACAGTTCATTCCGTGCCCTGAATTTCAGCTAAAAAGCTCAGACTAAGTTCGAGAGATGTAAAATGTGATGAGCTTGTGCCTTCACTTCACCAGTCCACCACTTCGTTGGCCAATGTGAATGGTAAAATGGTATGATCTAACAGCACTTGAATAGGGAATCGATTTGATTCCTGGAATTCTAGAGAGCACGCACTGTTGAAAGAACCAGAGGAAAACCATTCGTTTGCTGTTCGAGGGAGCAATTCTGCGAAACGCGAAAATAGCCAAACCACATACCCTCGAATCGAATCTACTCACGTTGAATATCTTCAACTCCACCAGCCGGCATTGCCTCTTCCAAAAGAAAGGAAAAAAATTCCCACACAAAAATTTTAAAAAAAAAATCAAAAAAAAACCAAAATTCCCTTTTTTTTTCTCCCCCTCAACCGAAGAAACGCTCGATTATTCGTATTTACCGAACCAAAAGCATTTCTTCAGTCAATCACAAGTTGAGAACGAGGACGTGGAAGAGAAAAAAGATAATGCTGATAAGCAAAAGGTGGCTCACCAACAAAGGAAGAAGCGATGGCCGAAGGCCAAACCACACCCGAAAGTCTTGAAACGAGCACCGACGATCGTCCCGGACGCACCTTCGACGTTGATCTAAAGCTTCACGACGTCGCCGCACGCCGGCGCTCCGACCAGGCCCGTGCCGACTGCCTGGGTCGTCCTTCTCGAAGGATCCGATGTAGTGACGGTCGTCGCAGTGGTCGACAACGCTCTCGTGGTACGACCGTCGCAGGATCGTCGGCGGAGCCGCCCTCGCGGCGGTCCCGGTCAGCTCTTCTCCGGCGATCCTGAGCATCGTTGGGTTCGATTTGGAGAGAGCGATGGCGATGAGGGGAGTGAGGTTGGACTTTATAGGTTGCCGGGGGTGTGTGGACACGTGGCGGCAGCTCAGGGCAAAATGATCACGTGACGTATCGAAGCACCTGGGATCTATTTGGAGCCGTGTGATCCCAGGTAATCCGACGGCTGTTAAGGCGCACCATCCAAATGTTCCTCAAGAACGAATACCACGTAAATTATGACGTCACGTCCATTTTCAGTGCGAAAAATAACTCATTTTGTTTGTGTAACAAACGACGTCGTAGTACGCCTTGGGCGAAGCCATTGGTATGCCACGCCAACGTAGAGATCTGATCCCATTGCTGCAGCTAAAAACTTGAAATAAAAAACCCCACTGCTGTATCATCATAAGAATGAGCCCACAAACAAGATGGTCTGCCTTGTCAATCTAAGAATAGTCATGGGTTCATCATCTTTTACATTCAATTTTCGAAGATATGTGCAAACGGGCGAGCATTCTCGTCCGAGAGATATCTCGACTGCTTCAAGGATCGACCTTTGCCGCCGCGGATGCGTAGCTTACGCTGCTGTCTCTCGTGCTCTTGCACTGGCTCGACTGCTCGTATCGAAGGAACTTTATCTTTATCTTGGTAGAGCAGTTCATCAACATCTGATCACGAAAAGAAAGAGAGGAGATTAGACAAACCTTAAAACACCAACATCTATAGAAGGCAATACGAGGAGAACAACTTCACAACAAAATATAATAAAGTGTCTGTGCTGCCATGGACGAAACCGAAATCCCCGTGTCCATTACATTTTCGCTTGCAAGTACTAACGTCCTTAAAAGGGAGCCATCTCCAGTTCTAATATCTTCATATTAGAACTCGACTTATTGGATTCGTCCAGTTCAGTGTCCACACTGATTTTCAGGACAAAAAAGAGCTATACATACTTGTGATACTGCACGCTTGGAGTTGCTACTAGTTGAAGTTAGAAAGGGGGTGTATAAGCAAAAGAAATGATGCTCCCTGTCAAGATAGTCGACTTTTCATTACTCAGGCACTCTTGTGATTGAATGGATATAACCATAAGTCAGATATTAGTAGTAGACACCGGACAGTAATCGAGATTCAGAAGCGTAAATTTCACCTCGACCATAAATAGGTTTGGCCAGGGCATTTGACCAAACAAAATACCTGTCAGAGACGATTTATAGGCGATGCAGCATGACATGATACCATAAATTTATATGCAAATCTCACTCATGCCAAGCTCTATATGAAAGCAAAGTCGATTTCTTACAACAATCAATCAGACCTTTCTTTATGCAAACAGCTGTCAGATCAGCTAATTTGTTAAGGCATTCAAACAACGTCAAGATGATCTGAGGTCTTACATGTAGAAAAACACTAATCGGATGACGCCCACAAATTGTGTTGTGGTACTCATCTAGATACCGTTCGAAAGCATTTGGATCTCCAGTTTCTATTATATCCATCCCCGTCTTGTCCAAGGCCTCTATAGACTTGTATATATCCCCACATTTTCTGTTGTAGTGTGTGTAGCTGAAGCTGAAATAAACCGCAGGCAAAGATATGTCAAACGGAGAATCTCAACAAGCTCCCCAAAGGCCAAACGCAATGTAATCAGATCAGATTAAGATTTAGACCATCTATGGATAATTATTTCATGCTCTCGTGAGTAAAAGAAAAACGTAGCCACAGATATTGATTAAGTCCATCCTCAATCTTCCAAACACAAAAGATGAACACAGACAGCAGCAACAATGCATCTCCATCGCTTGTCAATTCAATGAAATCCTCTGTCAAAACCCCCCAATGAAGATACGTTGATGACAGATTGAATCAAACAACAAATCAAGGCCAAGCTCAGGCGGAAAGGGTCAGAAAGAACCGACTTTACCTAACCCCTCTGGCAAATCAATTGCCTTACTGATCCACGAAACAGCAACTTTAATCAGAACATCAACAACCAGTGATGCAAAATTTTTTAAAGCAAACTAGGCTAAAGAAGGAATAAAACCTGGCCAATTCTCCAGCTACACTACATATTTCTATGAACTGCATCCATGCCGCAAAGTTAAAGAATTAAACTTTACAGAGTCAAATTTGTTCACAAGTCATGATCGCAAAATGAACCTTTGGCATTGGTAATTGTACTCTTGCTGATTCCCCTTGTGACATTTTAGACTCTACATTGCAAAATATCTTCAACATAACTGAAAAGAACTTCAAGCTCCGACTTATAATAATTTCCCAATGAAAATAGCAAAATGCACCAAAGTGGATCAAATGTTCCCCTTTAAATGACTAGCAAATCTGAACCGCACATACCGTGTTCCCCAGTGACAAAAATCAGAGGATACTGAGAAAAAGTTGCTCGGATCATCTACATATTTGGCCAGCAATCGCCCATACATGGCCTCATTTTCGGGGTTAACAGCACCAACCATTATAGGTACTACTTTTACCGGGTGCCTGCATTATAACCACCAAACAGTTACCTTTAACAAAAAGAAGCAAGAATAGACAAAAGCAGCTTAATTAGTCTCAGAGGTAGTACCCCTCAAAGACTTTGGCAAGGTATGGCAAGTGCATTTCCATGCTGTGCTCGGCCTCATCAATTCGAAGATCCATCAGCTCAAATTTCCCAGTTGCTTTTAATTCCTCGATAACTGAAGTTAAGGTATAAAAAGGGTAACTTGAGGCATACATTTAGTTTCAAAATACCAATGGAAAATATCATCAAAACTCACATGCAATCAATTTCAATTTAAAGGAAACAGGAAGGCTTTCTTACACAGAGAGCACATCACAAGAATATATCGCGTCGTAAATCAGATCTTTTTAAACAGCAATGACTTTCTCGATCGGGACCAAACATCAGTTGAACAGATAAAATGAAAACAAAGCATGCAAGGTCTGCAATTCCAATATCGCATGTTCCTATGGGACAATCTTTCACCTGGACCAATTTTGTCATCTTCTCCACAGCCCACACTTCAGATTACAACATTACATCAGAGACGCAGGGAAAATCAATCTCCCTTGAAAGTTAAACTTTTCAAACATGACAAAACTAGCTTTACCTTCCAAATCGATGGGTAGGTCCCCAATAGGAGTCTTGTAAACAGTAGCTGTTGAAAGAGCACATTTGGGCGTGTAATAGTGATGAGATGGTCCAAGGAGGAATATCCTAGAACTGAAGTTATATATCAGTGAGATATTAGAAATAATACAAAATCTGTCGAGTGCTTTAAATTTTTTACTTTTCGTACACGTTTTAATTTTCTTGTATATCTCCTTCTGAGCATTTCTTTTAGGGGCGCCACAAGGTACTATTGCAATCAAATGGAATTGTTTGGTGGACAAAATTCTTCATTAACAAAGATAAGTAGCCATACATGCTTGTAGGATCTATATTTCCAAAAGCAAAAGCAGCAGCCCTTCCAGAATACGAATAACCTGCATGCCTGTACTCCAGGGCCATCGAGCAAGGTCGCAAACAATATGGAACAAAATAGCCAACGTTGAGGATAACCGATGTTAACATAACTGGATCAAGAGAAGAACCAAGATAAGGCTTCCACACTTACGGAGCGATCACGCCTCTTACATCAGGAGATTTTTCCAGGCCAGCTGCTCTAAGCCATCCCTCCAGCTCTTCGGCTAATTTCTTAGCTGATGATCATGCAAAAAAGATACTGTCACGATCAATGCGTTTGGACGAAAAATCAAGCAAATTCACTGACTATTCCAGTGCTTCTACATTTTATCATCCCATCGAGCTCCGCAAACAATACAATTAAAACACTCGTTTTTAGTTGGCGAGGCTAACTAAATTTCTCGAGGGAGACCCCAGAGAAGAACATCCCCTAAAGGCAGTCGCTAAATGAAGCTAATTTCTCGCTTCGAAAGCCACACAACACCGATGAACATCCCATCTTAAAATCATCGAATCATTCAAAGTCCCAGAAAGAAAAAACCAACGAGCAACCCATTTGCACCGATGTTTTGATCGACAGTCGAGTTTTGTTTCGGCCTCCGGAGCCGTTTCGTTATCTGGGGGAATGCCCTGTCCGTCTGTACAGATTTTCCGATTCACGACTTCCTCACAATCAAGAAACGGAAAGAGAAAAAAAAAAGGGGAACAAGCGAGAATAGCGCAGCCATTCTTAGACAAAGAAAAAAGCCTCAAGAAACCTTCGCCCTTCATCGATCACCGGGGGAAAAGCGCGAGCTTTGGGAATTCGAAAGCGAGAAGGTAAAGGTAAGCAATCGGTGGTGGCGGGGCGACTCACGGTTGTCGGTGTACCATGAGCCGGCGTGCGACGCCCTCCTGATTTTCTCCATGGTTTCCGAGAAAACTCAAGAAGGCGAGGATCGAGCACCGGAGTCCAAAGAAACCCTAAACTCGGCGAGCTGCTCGTCGTCGTCGTCGTCGTCGTCGCCGCCGTCGCCGCCGCTGTCGCCGTGCGTGCTCGAAGCTCTCGGCGACGAAGTGAAGAAGGAAGTGCTGCGAAATAATGGTGGTGGTGGTGGCGGTGGCGTCAAGATCGCCGCAACCAAAAGATTCCAAGGACTTGACGGTGCCGCGGCTTTTGCTTGCACACGTTGCTCGGCATCGCCGTCGACTTAACGGTAACCGCCGTTTCGAATGCAGCGAACCCTCCTTCTGGACTATTTCCTTTTTGCTTAGAAAAACCGTTGGACAATCTACTTTAATTTGATTCAACGTATACTTTTTAATTTTTCAATATAACATCGTATATAAAAATATTTCAATGTAATTTATTTAGTTGATTCAGGAATTATATTGAATATATATCAAATGTCCAAACTATCGAACGTTTATCAAAAATCGCATTAAACATGTAGAATCCAAATTCATGGACTACATGAAACAGACTATTGTATGCAATTTCGAATTGGGCCGATAGATTCTAAGTTGTTCCTGAAATAATAATTTGAACCAATTAAGCACATCATCTAAATGGATCGCATTAAATATTAGGGTCAAAATTTAGGGCCGTTTGCCACGTTATCCCTTAATAATAATTTGGGAGCAGTTGGGTAACGGCGTTCTTGTCACGCAATAATCACTGCCCTTCCTCTGTGTGCCTCTCTCTGTCTCTGCCTCTCTGTCTCTCTGTCTCTCGCGCGCGCAGCAGAATCAACTTCCAGGTTCCACCCGTGCGGAGCGGGAGCGGGATGAGGCCAGCGATCGTGTTGTTCGGGGATTCGATAACGCAGCAATCTTTCCAGCCGGGCGGATGGGGTGCCGCTCTCGCCGACGCTTACTCTCGCCAGGTTTCCGCATCCTCCTGTGTCCTTACTTCCTTCTCTCCCTTGATCCATCGACATCGAGATCTCGCGTTTCGATGAACATTCGTCAATGTTGTTGTTTTTTTGTTTGTCTGTTTTTTTTTTGGGGCTGTGGTCGATTCTCAGAGGGTGATTTGTTTTTCTTGGTGCCGTGCAGGCGGATATAGTCCTCCGTGGATACGGCGGGTACAACACCCGATGGGCTCTCTTCTTGCTGCACCACATTTTCCCCCTGGTGCGTGAATTCTTCCCCTTTCTTTGTGAGCACAAATCATTCCTTTCTGGGTGATTTCCCTTTTGTCGTTTCTTGGACCGTTGGCGGGTTCTTGATTCTCGCTCTGACGTCTGTTTTGGTTGTCGATTGCAAATGAAAGACTTTACAGAATTGACGATTCCGAGTCGACAAATGTTGTTTGGGATATCTAGTAGATCTTGCTAAGGATGTTGACGATGATACAATCCTTAGCAGTTCGGGTTGAGGATTTGGTGAAGTGGGTGTGAAAAAATGTTGAACATGATGGTTAAAATCTTTTCGAGGGTTTAAGACGAGAGATGGATGGTTACTAGATTGGGGGAGGTAAAGTTTTGACTATATGCTACGGTAATTGCAGGCAGGAGAATAATTAGCTAGTTAGGAAGCCAGATGTTGGCCATAAATTCAATGGGGACTTTGATTGTGTCCCCTAGATGTGGTGGTTTGCCCTTCAATACCTTCAGGGGTATTAGTATATGTATTGGAAGTAGCATCTCCTCCATACATTCTTATCTTACTGGCAATATTGTATAAAACGGGAAAGAGGTCATAAAAGACAGTCATGTTCTGTTGCAACAGGTAGGAATAGGGAAGTTTCATTGTTTGTCTATGGCATTACACGTTGGGGGATCTTTAGAGTTTCTGGCTAGTTAGATTGGGCCTTGCAATTTCATGGAGAAGGGCATCTTCTTTAGCTTCTTGTCTATGGATACGACCATTAGGAGGAGAAAAACTGCATCAGATGGACTGCTGTCTTCTATGTTGGTGGGCTGGCTATTCTAAGCATGGGAAATGACTTGAAATGGGATAGGCAAATGCGAGGCCAAGAGGATTTGAAAATGTTAATTCTTACTTTGGAACCATGTGAAATGTGACCCATGTCAACTCTTTCAAAAGATCATTCTTGTGGGTCAAAACATGGTTCAACATTTTGTACCTTGAGACTAGATCATGGGGAAAGCTCAAATCATAGTTTGCCAGACTGCAGCTGAAAAGCTGCAACCTTAGGAAGATGGCATGTACATCATGTTTGATAATCATATCAAACAGTTTAGATGTTTAGAGGTGTATTTTCTATTTTCACTCATCAAACATAACCTGAACATGTATTTCATGTGACTGACTCTGTAGGACTCTTCAAAGCCTCCAGTAGCCGCCACAATATTTTTTGGGGCAAATGATGCAGCTCTTTCAGGAAGAACTAGTGAACATCAACATGTGCCTGTCGATGAATACAAGGAGAACCTCAAGAAGATCGTTCATCACCTCAAGGTTCAGGATCACATCGATTTAGTTGAGCTGTTAAAAGTAGAAATGTCGTTTTAAGTTCTCCCCATTGCATGACTAGTGCGTATCTAGAATTTTTGCATCTTAGTTTCGATCCTTATTGGAGAATCGGAGTTATGTGATCCACACTTCATCACCGATGATGAACTTGCTTGGTTCGGTAATTGCCAGTCAAACCTCGAAACGGTCATTCTACAACCTTACACGGAAAGATTTGAGCTTTGTGATGTACAGGCCATGCTCTGCAGATATTTTTGCCTGTCTTAGTATTTGGAAGCTACAAGTTAACTCTCTCCTTTTCCATCTCAGAAAAGTTCCCCCACAATGTTAATTGTGCTTATTACCCCACCACCAGTTGACGAGGAAGGACGTAATGAATATGCCAGGTATACGCTTCTCCTTTATTGCAGTATAAAAATTTGTTCCGGCACAGCATGATACAGCTTGACACTTTTGCTTTTCCTTCTGTGTAATCTTAGTTGCTTCTTTACCTTCCTTATGCTCAAAATTCGTCGAACTTGCATGGACAAGTACAACACTTCCTTTTCTTCTAAAATTTTATGAGGTCCATGACTTTTCTAACCATTGCGCCGTTTCACATTCTGAGTGAAGTCACTGTCTGATTGTGTGCTCATAATCTGTAGTCGTTCCTCTGTGGAAGAACTTTACCTTTGCAATCAGAAGAAAGGAACATTGTGAAGGTTTTTTTCTCTTTAATCTAGATGTTCAAACATATCTAGGCGCCTAGGAATTGATTAATCATCCTGTATCTCCTCGGTTTTGATTGCCATGTATAACATAATTGTAGATGAACTTCTTACATTGTGAAACAGATCATTGCACGGCAAGAGTGCTAGAGAGCTGCCAGAAAGGACTAACGAAGTGACTGGAACTTACGCGCAGCAGTGCGTTCAGTTAGCCAACGAACTGGGGGTCCGCACAATCGATGTATGGTCCAAGATGCAGGAAACCGAGGGGTGGCAGAAAAAGTTTTTGAGGTTGGTCATATTCTTAAAACATCTAGAAGTGGTGTAACAAAACTTTCCTAGTTTTACTTAATAAAGGTTCCGGCTTTTCTTATCCTGAAATCCGCATCCCAGACACTTGCATTGTCGGATTGCTTCTTGAATCTTAAGTTCTAAATCTTTTCCCTGTACATTAATTCCTTTACAGTGACGGGCTGCACCTGACGCCAGAAGGCAACGCAGTGGTTTACCAAGAAGTCGTCCGGGTGTTCAGTGAAGCTTGGCTTCATGCCGAAGAAATGCCCTACGATTTCCCTCACCACTCGGAAATCGACGGAAGCAATCCTAAGAAAGCTTTTGAGCAAAGGTGCCTTTAGCATCAAGTGACTCGGATGGTTCATCTTTTTCTCATCTTCTAATTAAACATATCATGCTCCCCTCTCACTCAGCACCATACAGCACAATAATGGATGGTTCTTTTTCTTTATTTATTTTTCCTCCTTTGGCATGTTATAGTCATTATGACATTGTATTGCCGGTTCCTTTTGATTCATTGACCCGGAAATATTCGTTCTTTAGGATCGTTTCCTAAAGAGACTGTTACAGTTAGAAGTTGCACGGACCCCTTGCTAATGCACCGTGAAGAATATAGCACTGCTAGTGCATTCCTCCCTTTTTGAAGAAATTTTCTCAGGAAAAGGGTCGCTCAACTGAAATTTATCACATGCAATTAGTATCGCATGCCGATTACTAATGATAATGAATTATTACTAACCTCTGAAAGAATAACCAGCTGATCGGTTCGCCAAGGTACCAATTTTATTAAACTTCATTGATCAACTTGTTCCAACGAATTCTTTGATATCAAATGGCAAATACCCATTATGGATGGGTTTCACGATTTTCAAAGCTCGATGCTATAGAAAAAGATCGAGAACTCAAGGTGCTTTGCCATTGCCGACCAATCGGGGTACAATTATTTAGTTTTGCAAAAGAATAAACCTCGTGCAAAGTAGAAGCAAATAGCAAATTCTGCCAGACCTACAAGCAAATTGATTGCTGTGGCAAGATAAACCTGATCTAAATTCCAGATCTACAAGCCAACAGTTTTTCCCAAACTGACTTCATGCCGTCTTTGGCTTCGGCTTAATCCTCTTCACTCTGGAGTAAAGGAAAACCCCGGCGAGGGCAATGCCAGTGCCTGCATCAGTGAACAAGAAAATGTCAGCGGTTATATGGATTCGAATCGCGCAGCAAACAGAAATGCAAACAAACAGAATAATTAATGCTAAACAAAAGTCACGGTTTCAATGAAAGCAGCAAAATCAAGGGCGAGGGAACAATTCCCACAGTACCTATAGAATTGATGGGGGAAACTGGCGTTCGGAAGAAAACAACAGAACTGATAATCACTACAACCCGCTTCACACAATTACCAACAGAATGGGTGATAGGAGATACTCTCTGTAAAATCATATAGGAGACCTGCATAATTCCACCAAGAGAAGTCAGTGTCATCATCGTATATAACACGAGTGTGTAGGTTGGGCTCCTCGGGAAGGATGGGTTAAATGGACTTCCGTCGCTTATTGCATGTAAATATTGTTGCTATACCAGATGCCATGTGTTCCGACGAGCCGAGATGCTATATCACAAAACCTAGTATCTGTTATCTGACAGAATCGCCTATGTAGAGAACATCGCATAAACACAGCACTTATGCACAGATAGACATAATGTCATTTACCAGTGAGTCTAGCAAGATTATCTAGACTTTTTCTAAAAGCTATCTTGCTAGAGTACAAAACCCTAAAGGAAAAGGCACATCCTTTTGAGATCAAAAGAAAGTAACCAACAAAGAGCTCATAAATTAAGGCATATAGCTCAAGATACTAGCAAGACAAACAAGAGCTTCACTTCCTAATTGCTTCAATCTAATTGAGCATCCCGTGCTCTCAAGCATTCCATTAGAGCACGGTTACCACTCTCAAGACTCGACAGTCTTTGCTTAGTGTTTACTTAAATCTCGAAAATCTAGCCCATCAAAATACTCAGATTTGAATTCCATTCAAGATCCAGGTTCAGCGACAAGTATTTTATAAGAGTAACAAAGTAATGATGGACTCACCTGCTGATAAGCATGGAAGCAAAGGGCAGCCAGTAAAGACCTGACCAATACTTGTTTAACATTCAATCCACTCTTTGCCTGTTGCACGAGATGATAAAACACATGAACCAAGATCCACTACAAAAGTAAACATAACCGCTAGAAGCAGTGAGTTTTATTATTCTTCAGGGAACACTTACGGCCAATTCAAAGTAGCCCGGAGTAAATTTGAAACCTTCCATGTAACATGCCGCAGGGAATACTAGAATAAACGACATGACTGTTATAATTGAGAAGAGAGTGATGTTGTCCACTGATTCCTGCCAATACAAAATATCTAGAACAATCAGACATTCTTTTCTTCTTCTAAAGCAAATTTACAAGCATTAGCGCATGGATAATGATCTAACAAAGCAAAAAATGGGGACAATGGTACTATTACTTTGATTTTTTGTCAAATGGTACTTGACTAAATCAATCAGATGCACAATGTCAATGTGCAGAACCGAGACTACAACCTGGAGATTCTCAAAAAGATAAAAGAGTCAGGATGGATTACCTCTTTCTTGACCATCACTTTTTTGCTAAGGACATTTCGAGATTGATTGGACAGATTTGAAGCCATTGCACTCCAAAACCCCGCCCTTCAGAATCAGGAAACCAGGTCACAAATATTGAAAAGAAAAGGGTATCGTAGTACCGCAGAAAAAATTTCACATTTCTCATTACACACAAAACCATATTGTCCTAGTTAACTCATCTTCATCTGTATTTAATCTAACAAATCCATTTGCATTCAAAATTTACCAGTTAAAAGAGGCCTCAGTCATGGATGCTAATCCAACTCCACCAACAATTGGTAGCAGGGAACCAACAACCCAGAGAGTTGGCATCTGCAGAATTCAGGGGATGTCAGAATAAAGGACCCCTGAGAACGGACCACAAAATCACAAGTCACTGAATGAAAACCTGAAAGGTAAGACCTAAATCTCAAAGAGAAAGCGCACCTCTCCGAGAAACATTGCAGACAGGACAACCGAGAAGAAGGGCTCCATAGCCTTGATTGTATGAGTGAAGGAAACAGCTACTTTTCCAAGACTCATGTTAGTGAAGAGATTACCCAATAAGTGTACCACTGCCAGCGGGACAATTGCCATAAGCTGTTAATAGGAAAGTCATGGCAGGAATGAGAGCAAACAAAAAATTTGAACGTGAGGAGGAAAAACTGTGGACTTGCAAAGTTGCAATTGCATGGCAAGGTACCTGTGAACGACTGAGTTTTGGCCTTTTGTAGAGATTAAATGTCCACATGAACAGAACAAGGACAGACCCTACAGCAAACTGTACCATAGTGATGGTTGCTGGGTAGTGGTAAACCTTTAGAACCTGTAGCGAGTAATATTGTCAGATTTCTCTTTCCCAAACCATTCAAACAGCAAAGTGCTTCCAAAAGCAATTTCCGTGGCCACCATCTAACATGATCTGCCAGCTTACGCAGCCAAATTGAAAGGGATGATGCTGGTCTCAAGGCATTTCACCCTAGGAAAGCTATCAAATAGTTTCATTATATGCACGAGCGATCACCAGAGTTTAAATTACGACAAATAGTTCATCATATGTGGATGGTATTGGTCCTATGATATCCGTAATCTACAAACATGTCTAGAAAGTTAATAACGAAATAATGGAATTGCTAACATCAAATTACTAACACAGTTGAAGAATGACCCATCACCCATTAACATTGTCCATTGTAAAAATCCGTCCTTTAGCTCGGGATTTGTAGAATTTTCATCTATATATATAATGAGTAAAATGTCGGGTCCTTGAAGCGACCCTTCGGCTTCATCGGGTGAAGATCCTTATTGCTTATGTAACAGAACTCAAGAGATTCCACAATTATTGGACAAATCTAACCAGCTAAAGTCACGGTCAGAGATATCTGACGAGGAAACAGCTACAGTAATCAAAGTACCGGAGCACGTGATTGCTCGGTCTGTCCAAAAATTACACGATCGCCATAGAAATAATGAAGGTAGTCCGGAGCAGTCAGCACGGAACGCAGTAAACAAAGATCCAAAAAAGTGCCAAGCAAGCATCGAAACTACGAGGATAAACCAATGACAAGCACAGCGACGATGAATGAAACAGTACATGCTCGACGACGATTCAAAAAAAAAAAAAATTAGAACGAAAGAAGCAAAGTCACGAAAGAGGAGGACCTGCTTATTATAGATGTTGAAGTAGATGTTGAAGAGGTACCAGAGCCCAAACAGCAGCCCCAGCTCCAGCGTCTTCCTCATGCCCCCCGGCTTCTCCCCGTCGCCGGCGGCCTCAGGGACCGACGCCGCCCCGACCTCGGAACGGCTCCTCCGGCGGTCGCAACCGAGACCGCGCGCGCCACTCCACGGCCAGAGCCTCGAAGAAGATGAGGAGGTGGAGGAGGAAGGAGGAGGAGGAGAGGGAGAAGGAGAAGCGGAGGACCAGTGCACCGAGGGGACGTCATCGGGGGAGGAGGAGGCGGCGGCGGCGAAGGCGGCGAAGGCGGAGGAGGGAGAGAGGCGGGCGGGATCGAAGCCGAGACCGGAGCGACGGCCGTGGAGCGGCGGCGACCGGAGGCGGAGGGGGGAGAGGGCGGCGAGCGCGGTGCTCTGCATTTTCAAAGAGGGAGAGAGAGGAGCACACGTCAGCGGAGGTTGGTGTGATGGGTGGCGAGAGAGAGAGAGAGAGAGAGAGGGGTGTAGTGGTGATGACAAAATATTTTTTATTTTTTATTTTTTATTTTTTGGGGTGGAAGATGACAAAATTGGAAAATGCGGAATATTCATGCTTTCCCTTTTTATTAATTCTTTGTCGTTTTCTGGGATATTTTATGCGGGCGTTGGCGGCCCCCCTAAATTGGAGATTGAATAACATTTTAATTAATTTCATCGGATGAATTCAAAAGCAAAACGGTGACTCACTACAACTACAGTCCCGTCCAGATTCATGCTGCCCAAATTAGGAATCCGTCGCGTGCTTAGAGCGAGAGAGCCGGCGCGCTCCGTCTGATTCGCGTGAAAATATTTTCCAAATAATACATTTTTCATGAATATATTTTCCTTAAAAATATACGATTTGGAAATTATATGGTTTAAAAAATATTTTTCTTGAAAATGTATCGTTTGGAAAATATATGTTTTCTCAGTCATCCATTTTCCAGACGGAGCCTAAAAGTCATTTATTGTTGCCCCAAGAGAGAGTAAGGTCGAACTCGACCTAATGCGGTCCAAAGCATACGGAATCTCTAATCAGAAGTTAGGCAATGATGGTTCGATGCACGTTTAATTTCCGCCCAGAAAGAGAACCGCTCTGAATGACGGATAGTCGAAAATGTGACTTCTCCGACGACTAGCTCCGGCTCCAAAGTTACTCAAATCGTCGATTGAATGTCCAAGTACAATGCACGGGACAAGAGGTATGTGAAGGCAGCCGAGGTAGACCGGATGGCTCAAAAGCGGCACGACATGGAAACACACACATCCGTTCCACTTTCCAAGCAAGTTCTATGGTCCCGCGAGTGCTTTCCCGAACCAGAAGGGGACAATCTAAGTCCCGTCAGATCCGGTTTAAAAAGTACAACTGGGTTACCGGGCAAGATCGATTTCCGGTCATTACTCGTGGACGTTACGAAAAATTAAAAAATGTTGCGGACTCGAAGGTGACAAAACTTGCATTCGAATAAGAAAAGTCACGATGCGCACGACAAATTAGTGAATCAATAGTTGCGAAAATTTATGAAGGGCAAAGAAAAGTTACGATGGTTTAGGTATTTTACAAACAATTGAACAAGAAACTTACTATTAGCTTAGGTAGATTACTAATGTTTATGAATTTTAGGACCTATAAAATGAACAACCACAAAAAGGAAGATTGCGTCCTTCACAGATATGTTAGGGAAATATATTTTTACACTAAAGTTACTATTAGCGAAGACAATTACGTACGACAGAAGGAAAATTACGATCCGTTGGCTAATTTACTAACGATAGGACAAAAAGAGTTTACTATTAATGAGGCAGATTACTACCTTTTTTGTGGAGTATTACGAATCATAGGATTCACAGAACTTATGACGACGAAAGTGAAATGACGCCCGTGAAAGAAAAGTTACCAAAGATATGTTAACATGTAAATTACTACCAGTGAAGAAAATTACGAATGTTGAAGAAAAGTTAGGCATAATTACGTAATTTACTAAAAATAGAAGATGAAAATTTACTAGTATCTGAGGTATTATGACTGCCGAAATCATGCCTTTGAAGAAAGACGTAAATAACATACTACAAGTGATGACAATTTGTTTTTGGTCGAAATAAGTGATGACAATTGCGTACGCAAAAAGAAAGGTAGTTTTGCTAACAAAGCTGACGAGGAGAACTTGAGGAAACTTACTATCAAATTGAGCACATTAAGAAGCACATGGCAAAGTTTAGAAAAGTAGAGTGAAAGATTACGAGCGGCAGGAAAATTACTATCCTTGTTGAGGAAAATTTCGAACAGCAAAAGAAAGTTGCTAACCATAAGAGTAATCAAGTTATTAGTTACTCGTGACATTCTTCCATTGTCATGTGTGGAAATTGTCGAATGTTTAGATGAATATATGAAAAATTATTGAACTAACTAATGATTAAGGTAATTATCAAGCTAGGAAAAGTATCCTATTCAATTACTTCTAACGCCCCACTAATTTTTCAGAATATTTCCCAATCCACAAACAATTTTGAACTTCAAATCTTCCACTTTTTTGTAAAAGAAATTTAACAGAGTGAATATTTCTAACATTCATCGACGAATCGTCCCACCCAGATTGTCCCAGTACTCCCAACAGATCTTGAACCGGAATGGTGCCTGAATCACGACTTCGCACCAAACCTCCACTTGGCATAAAAGTCCCAAAGCCTACAGAGCCGAAACTGTCTGAACGACCCAATCATCTGCTCATCTACCGTTCCAATTCAGTATGTAATGCAAAGGAAACCAAGGCCAACACAAAATGGCACTATCTTTCCCTATGTTTATTCTTAAGGACGCCATTCATCCGACCGATTAACTATCCATGACCAAGACACCATTATCGGACAACTCTTGATTATAAAGAGGGGCAATCCACTTCACATATCATAATAATTCACCCAGCAAACATCATCATTTTGACAACTGCAAGTGCTTATCTATGCCTTGCACAGACCACGGGAAAATCTCAACACATGTACACTTGAACTAGGCCAGTTCTCATCATATTGCAGAGGGGGCACACATCAATAAACGCTGCACAATCTTTACATAGACACAAATGTTTGCAAGGCAATATCAAGATGGAGACTTCTTTAGTCTTACACGATTTGCAGGTCATCTGGTTCCTCTTGACCCCTGATGTCCCAAAACCGTCCACGAAGCTGAGATGGTTCTGGTTCGTGTAAGAGGCTGCATCATCTACCTCACTGTCCCCGCAGCCTTCCTTCCCTTGCATAGCGCCTTGTGCCATGACTTGCTGTAAATTGCTCTTCAGTACATTCACAACAGACTCGTTGTATTTAGCTCGGTAGTGCCAGGATTGAACTTCTGCCGTCACCTGCTTAATTCTTTCCTCTAGTTCCTTGTTCTTGCGGTTCATGTTTTCTAGTTCAAGGTCCTTCTCGTGTAACTTCTTGCCCACTCCTTTCTCTACAGCACTCAGAAAAGCAGCTGTATGTCTTTGCCGTAGTTCTCTTACACCCTTCGTAATGTTTTCTTCCTGATTCAAGCAAAGCGGTCATTAAGATGGCAACAGCACCAATTGAAGTGGCAGATATATATGAACAAGGACAATATAGGGGATTGCAAACATGAGACAACCAGCTTCAAAATGAGTGCTGAAGAAAACTTTTACCATACACCACGAATTGACATCTCAGTAGTTTATTAATTTGCATGTCTCTCCCACCGCATCATATATGTCCTCTCATCCCATTTGAGTGGACCACATGCGTATAACAGTCATAGAAATCACCATACATAGGAGTTCAACACTGATAAAAACAAATAGAAAATGGATGTATTGACTATATCCTATTGACAATATATGGCTGAGATTATAGCATCCATCTTTATCGTTTGGAAAACAGCTAACCAATGCAGATACATTCTCTGAACGTGTACCAGACACAATGTACTTGAACATGAAAATGGATCTCCAAAGACTAACTATTTTTGCTTTTGTTCCAGCATCACAAAGAAGATCATCTCCTTTAAGACATCAATTCTTTTTTTTTTTCTTGGGGGGGTGGTCTGCCACTGAACGACAATCTTAAGGACTAAGTATAGGCTTGTTCAAAACTTAGAGAATTAAATATCAAAGTCTAAAACCCTTACCAAAAAAAAAATATCAAAGTCTAAACCAAAGCTAAGATTGTTCATCCGCGGACGACACAAAATAATATCTCTAATTGTCGAGAACAAAATGACCAGAAATACAGCCACGAGTTTGAACAAACATATTCAATTCATGCTGCAAAATACATGAGTTTGCCAATGAACCGGGCATAAATATTCCTAGAACTGCGCCAATTGGATATTAAACCACAATAATTGTAGATGGTTCTACAGCCAAAACAAGACAAGGCATTTTTTGTGTTCTTTGAGCATTACTACAAAAATTCCAATATTTCTGGACAAAGGTAGAACCTTTCGCATAAAGAGATTACCTGTATTCTGATATAGTGATCAAATTCTTCTTTCTGTCGATCAAACTCCGTCTTGAAATTATCGCCAAGCGACAGAATCAGAGGCAGTGCAGCTGTCATGCTTTCACTTGCAGATGTTACAGAGGAGTTATGTTCATCCTCTTCATATGAAAGTTTCAAACCAGTTGACACAGGATTGGGATTGAAAATGCTCCCAGAATGACCTGCCTCATCTGGATAGATTTTATCACTGAGGGTTAGCGGATGCTTTTGCTCTCTAGAAAAAGATTCAGCTTCCCTAAATCTTTTAGCTGATCGGTCCATATTGGTAGTGTGATCCTTTCTGGTGTAGTTTAAGGGACCAATACTATTTCCAACTGGATCTGTGACAGAATGCATTACATTATGACATTAGCAAGCATGTAATGCAGGAGAAAAAGTTCATGCTAAAAAAGGAACATCCTTGATTGATATGAATGCAAGGAAGGCAACAGGAAAAAGAAGCGCTCCTTGTAATTCTGCAGAAAGAAGGTAGCCTTGGAGTTCCATCTGATACTTAATTCTTAAACAGGAAGTCGCAAGGGGATGAATGATACTTGGCATAATGTGCCCCCATGTATGAGAAATAAACTGCCACTAGCTATAAAGCCAAACTAAGTATGCTATGCTTAGCACATCATACCAATTCAACAGGTACAGGCTACAGAACACGCTCTAGGCAAGCTTCAAACATATGACCGGGTAGCCGTTCGTGCTATGCTCTAAGTAGAAGGGAAGAAGTATAATGGCATGGGCAAGAATTGTTGAAGACAAGAATATTAATGTGGAAAATATCACCGGCCAATTCATATGCATCTAGTCATAACTAGCGGTGACTTTCAAAGCACTAGTGTTATTTTTAGTCACTAGGGCGCTCCTGAAATTGCGATGACAAAGCAATTAGAAATTAGCAACTTACTGCCATCTTGTCCAAGAATAACACAAAAGAAGCATCAATTCACGAATAAAATATTGATCACCAATTTCTCTAGCATGAATAATCCAGAACACGACCAATGTGCATCCAGGAGTTACTTAGATTATAAACCAAAAGCAAAATTTACTCCACTTCAATTATCTTGAATCTGATCAGACATGGCTGGGAAAATACTAGGCCCCTCATCAATAAGCATGATATAAATTTGCACAAGTACAGGTCTGCCAATTGCATGTGTACCATGACTCCATGAGAATAGCTTCTGAGTTACCTGGTTTTTGATGATAATGCTGTACAACAACAAAACATTGGCTGCTGCTAAACACTGACAACGACGATGATGGTGACGGTGGTGATGGTGATGGTGATGGTGGTGATGGTGATGATGGTGATGATGCAAAGGCTATCTTCTTACCTGGCTTTTGACTATAATGCTGCATAATAACAATCCATTGGCTGCTGCTAAATTTTTATGATGATGATGATGATGATGATGTTGAGAACAGCAGCAGCAGCAGCCAGCAGCAGCCGCAGCCGCAGCAGGATAGTGCAAATGGACTAAAAACGACAGAAGACCACTAATTTTCACAGGCGAGAAAATAGGATAGCTATCAAAGATGGATTCTTGCTTGAACTTACAATCTCCAAATAACTGCAGCTGAGGCAATGCATTAGTATCATATTGGAACCCATTATCTCCAAGGAACACAGGAAATCCACAATTGTTGGGATCGCCTCCGAACATTTTTCCTGATGAAAACAAAAATACAGACATCAAATAACGAGAATGATTAAGAATGACCCAAGTAAAGAAACTAATATACACGCTCAACGATAGACCTAACGAAACTAGAAGCAAAAATCGGTTAATTACACGAGACCAGGAAAGCAAAAACACAGCAAAATGTCACGAGCTCTCGAGCTTAAAGTTCAAAAAACTGATGTATCTCAAATTAGCAGTTCAGCCGCAGCAAAACAGCACATGACCCACGAAGATCACCAAACATACACGGAAAAACCCGGTCAAGATTCCATCATTGGGCTTCTTCTTCGGAGGATCAAATAACGGTCAATTTGTCGGAGTTCAAAACATCATCGAAGCAAGCCTCTCAGTTTCCTGATCGATCAAAGAAAACGAAGGGGGGACCCTCGGATAAAGCGGCTCAATCTCCGCGTCCTCGAGCTCGACGCGAATTCAAGAAAAACTCGCTCGCTCACTGTCAAACAAACCCGTTCGAAAGCAAAGAAACCAGAGATCGGAGCACAAGCTACGCAGCGTTTCGGGAACGGGGAAGAAAACGAAACGGCGACACCTATTCTCGGATTCAATGCCTAAACCGCGGCAACCCCAAAGAGAAACCGATCGGTCGATTCGAGCGCGCCCGGAACACGACCGGTCCCCCCGGCAGGCCCCCGATCGGAGCCCCGAAACGGGAACCCGCGCCCGGGATCCGGGGAAGAAAACGACCGGGTACCTGAGGAAGCGCCGATCGAATCGCGGAACCAATCCGGAGGGAGGGAGGGGCGGCGGGGGGGGCGGGATCCGGAGGAACCTGCGGCGGCGGCGGGAGGAGGAGGAGCGATCGGCGGAGTCTGCGAGAGGAGAGCGCGGAGAAGGAAACGAAGGGAACGAAGGTGGTGGTGGTGGTGGTGGTGGTGGTGGGGGAGGGAGGAAATGAGGAGGGGGGGAGAGGAAGAAAAGGTGAGTGGGTGGGGGGGAGTGCGGGTGGTTAACGAGGCGGAGAAGGAAACGGATGATTCCATTTCCCGTTCGGACGGGGATTTTCGCCGTTTTGCATCTTTTTCCCGTTCCGGCGGAATTTAGTTCTTTTTTTTTTCCGGATGAAAATTTTGATGATGGCTTTATGGTGGAAGGAGATTTTTTTTTTTTAGCCTTTTTACTTAATAACAAGGACCTCTATTCACGGAGATATGGCATCCGAGACCAATACGAGCTAGCATGATCATTCGAATGTAAGTTCGATTTTGAAATATTAATTATACACGAATTTGGAGAGAATTTAATGCATTAGAAAAGTCTGATGTTTGTAAACATTAAGCCTGCCAAATACCGAGAGCTCGATTTGAATAAATGTGCGCAATAAACTCGTTCGACGGCTTTGTTAGCCTTTTGGGTCCCGATGGGAGTGCGATCCGCCTCGCCGGTTAAGCGAAACAAGAAAGTTGTTAGATTGTTTCGATAGAGGTGAATAGAAAGAAAGAAAGAAAAGAAAAGAACAGATTCTAATAATTAGGAAAGAAAATAAATTTAATAAAGAGTTCGAATGTTGTTTGAACACTGGCGATCAAACCTCACGATCTAAGAATTCTTTGTTTTTTATGTATTTAAAAACTCAAGATAGAAGAACAGCGCGCGAGCGTGTTATTACACAATCCCCGCAAATCCCACCATTTTCGGACATATTAAGAGGGACTTTAAAGAAATTGATTTCGTTGGTTGTTTGATTAGTTTAAATTTTTAGGCTCCGTTTATTTTATGGAAAACTACGCTCAGATTTTTATTTTTATTTTTGGACGTTCGGTTTACAAAAAAGAGAAACCATGAACCGGAATAAAAGAGTTCCTGGACACCAGAAATATTAAAAGGGAGAAACCATGAGATTTTTTCAGTATGAATTTCTTTAAACGGCGTTTCCACAGTACTCCTAACGAGTTCGGTTTTCAAATGTGATTGTCCATTTCCTTTCTCCAATCCATCTTCTCTTTCCCTTGACTTATTGTTCGTTCTCAATCCCGTGTCTTAAAACATTTGCTATGTTCGGAAGCTCGAATCATTTTTTCAAGTCCCGAAAGAGAATAACATGATTGCGCTCGAGTGTAATCTTAAAAAAATAAAAAAAATAAGAGGGTCGGCCAAATATATGTCGTCGCGGGAAAATGTTACGTTTAAATCTGCGAATTTCGTTTGCCCGATCGAGAAATCTAATATCGATGATATATTTAAATCTCAGGTTAAGCGTTCGTACACCGGTCAACGTACTCCAAGACCGGTGATAAGATCGAGAGGTCGAGCTCGCGACCAACGACTCTCGAATCAAGGTCTCGCGTCGCCCCGATCCGCCGCCGGTCCGCCGCCGCCGCGGCTGCGAAATAAGCGCGTGGCAGCCCTTGCCGGTATCGAACGGTCGTCGAAAAAAAACGAGGAAGCGCGATTCGTCAAGCCCCTCGTGGTACGAGACGTTCGTAAATGGCAGGCGTGGCGTCAAGGAAAAATGACGCGCGCGCGCGCGCGAGAGGTGGTCAACGTCAACGGAGCGATGGACGCGGCGGCGCGTGTGGGACCGTCCGCAGGCGATGATCCCCACCGCTGCTGACCGCGACCGACCGAGGGGGGTCTTCCGGTTGGGCCCCACTCCCGCCCCCCACCGCCCGACAGCTTTTAGCAAGTCCCCGCCACCGCAATTCACGGACAGGACCACCCCAACCCACCATTTCCCGCCAATTTTTCCATTCCCTCTTTTCCTCGGGTCGGGTCGGGTCGGGTCTAGATCCGCAGCGTCCCGGGGGACACGTCACTCGAACCGAGCCCGCGCGCGTAAAGAACTCTAGGTTTATGATTTTGGGGAACCGGTGGCGTTCGCCTTCGCGGCGTTTAGGCGGTTACGGAAACGTGGCACGGCTACCGGGAGCGCCACGTGTGAGGCACCTGTTGTCGAGATGGCTTTCATAACATCTGGTGTTTTCTTTTTTCTCTTTTGTTGGGGGTCAAATAACATCCGGTGTTTGTATGACAAGCGATCCTCGTTTTTTTTTGGGCCAAGCGCAGAGATGATGTGGGCCCACTCATTCAGAATTTTCGCTCGCGTCTTATCCGATCCATTGGATTCGTTCAATCAACTCCTTTCGTTAGTTATATTTTTTCAAAAATTTTAAGACATGATTGCACTTTTCAAATTTGATTGTACTTTTTAAATATTTTAGGACTCGATTGTACTTTCATGATAAATTTTAGGATTTGATTAAACTTTTTGAAAGTTTTAGAACTCGATTGTACCCGCATGACGAGTTTTACGACTTCTAGTGCACTTATCCAATTTTTCTTTTGTACGAATCCGGCATTTTTTGAGTGGGAAAAGGGACTCGGCTGCTGCTATTAGAGTTCCCTAATACCGATACGCCCCGAGGGCGGGAAACAAAAAATGCAAGAAAGCGATTAAGGGTGCGAATGGTAACCATTCCGCTCCGTAAATCAAATTCTTCGCGTAAATTGATTTTTAATTTTGTTAGAAATTGATTTCGGAGGAGAAACTGTTTGGTAAAACATGACTAATTCTCGCTTAAATTGATTTCGAATGAAATCTATTTTGATTTGTTGATTTTTTTTGCACCTAAAAAAATTTAAATTTTACTCAAAGTGAGTAGCCACATGTATTATAAGCCATTCAGTAAAGTTTTGAATTTTTTGATTTTTTTAAATTTTTTTTTGGCACCTAAAAAATTTTAAATTTCACTCAAAGTGGGTGGCCACAGGTATTCTAAGCCATTTTGTGAAGTTTTGAATTTTTTTATTTTTTAAATTTTTTAAATTTTTTTATTTTTTTGGGCACCTCAAAAAATTTAAATTTTACTCAAAATGGGTGGCTACAGATATTCTAAGCCATTCTTTGAAGTTTTGAAATTTTTTATTATTTTTCTTTTTTTTGGGCACCTCAAAAAATTTAAATTTCACTCAAAGTAGGTGGACAAGTATTTTAAGCCATTTTGTGAAGTTTTGAAATTTTTGATTTTTTTTGGGCACCTCAAAAATTTAAATTTCACTCAAAGTGGATGGCCACAGTATTCTAAGCTATTATGTGAAGTTTTGAAGTTTTTGATTTTTTATTTTTTTAGATCTCAAAAATTTAAATTTCACTCAAAGTGGATGGCCAGTATTCTAAGCCATTTTGTGAAATTTTGAAATTTTTGATTTTTTCATTTTTTGAAATTTTTATTTCTTGTAAAAAGGAAATTTGGGCTAGAATGCATTCGGAATAGAAAAGCTACAAAAAGTAGCTTCTCTTTTGCCAAAACTCATTCCGGAAGCAAAAATTCATTCTAGAGCAAAAAAAGAATGAAGTTTTACCAAACGCGTTTTTATTCCGGAATGCAAAAATTGCTCAGAACGCATTCCAAAATTATTTTAACAAACGCATTGCATTCGGGACGGTACGGAGCGCACTTCGCTCCGAATGGATTCCATGCGCGCCCTAAGTCTCGAGGGATAAAGAAACAAGGGATAAGTGCATTCAAAGTCCTAAAACTTGTCACGAAAGTGCAAATAAGTCCTAAAACTTGTCACGAAAGTGAAACAAGTCCTAAAACTTGTCAAATTGGTTCAATCAAGTCCTTCCACTGATTGTACTTTTTGAAAGTTTTAGGACTTGTTTGTACTTTCGTGACAAGTTTTAGGACTTATTTGCACTTTCGTGACAAGTTTTAGGACTCAAATGCACTTTCATGACAAGTTTTAGGACTTGTTTGTACTTTTTGAAAGTTTTAGGACTCAATTGCACTCTCGTGATAAGTTTTAGGACTTCTAGTGTACTTATCCCAAGAAACAAAGAGGGTTCGATCTGTATGACCAAAAAGGTTCTCGCTCCCACTCTTTCTTAGATGATATGGAGTTACTTGATACCCCCCGTTCAGATAGTGAAAGAGAGCAAATACTGGGCTTTGGTGGCTTGCATTGAGAAGCCATTGTGGAAGATAACGGGGATCTTTAAGCTGGAATTGTCATAATGGCTCTTATAGGGGCCCCACACCGTGATTTTCTTGACGGGAAACAAAGAACAAGGAGATCACGGCGGATCGCGTGAAACGGCGTCTCAATTTTTCGAACTCGCCTTTTAGTCCCAGCCGGAGGGTGGAGCGATGAGGTTTGGTTTTCAGACGTCGAGTTTCTACCCCGATCCCTTTATGAATCGATGGGACCGAGGGATTTCAAACCAAAATATTGAATCAATGCCCCTTGCCCAGTAAATGACGGGACGAATGAAAGCTTGGTAAGGCTCCCGTAACGTTAAAAGAGGTGAAAGATGCTGTTTTTCAAATGGGATCACTCAAAGCTCCAAAAGCCCTGATGGCTTGAAATGGGGCAATTCTATCACAGGTACTAGGAGGATATGTGTAGCTTGACTTGTTCCGGCAGGTGAACAGCTTCTTTGAGTCTGGTACTTTTGACCCCCCCGATTAACAGGACACGTATTTCACTCATCCTAAGAGTGCAAAATCGAGAAAGCACAAGCCAGTTTTAGATCCATCGGCCTTTGTAATTTTAGCTATAACACTATTTCAAAATTGATAGGCTAACGTGCTGAAACGCTGGCTTTCTGAGATAATTGCTACTGAACAAAGTGTCTTTGCGAGTGACAGGCAAATTCAAGACAACATTCGGATTGTTCATGAGGTTTTACACCAGTTAAGAATAAGAAGAGGGAAAAAGAAGTTTCAGACCGTCTCGAAACTATATATGTAGAAAACTTACGATACGATAGAGTCGAGTGGGATTTCTCGAGGAAGTGTATGTTAAAAATGGGTTTCTGCAAGCGATGGGTCTTCTTTGAATCATGCAATGCGCGTCTACCGTTTCATTCGACGTGAAAGCAAACGGAACCAACGCAACGCAATATCTTTGACCTTCACGAGGACCGTGGAGACCCGCCCCTTCTATCTTTTCATATCGATAGCAAATGTTCTTTCGTGGCTGATGTATAAATCTACAGAGGATGAGAGCATAAGAGGAATTAAGCATAATTGGTTCTGTCGACCAACTCTATCTCATTTACTGTTTTCTAGATGATGCTATATTTTCTCTGAACGGTACCATTAGAAAATGCCAAAAACCTGGCAACCGCATCGAATCGGCATTGCTTCGCCAACGGGTCAGGTCATCCCACTTGAACAAATCGGGCATTTATTTGGGTGGCGGCTGCATGTGCATTATTTCAATTAGCTATTTAATGGACGCCACCAAAAAAAAAAATTCAAGCCACGTCATCCTCGAACAGTGCCTCGACACGTGGCGCGTTCCTCTTCCATAAGAAGAAGCAGGAATCGCCTGTGCCTCGTACGCAGCGCGCAAAAAGTGCAGACCACGAACAGCGGCAAAAATTCAATTCCCCCATTAATTCTCTCTATCCCCAAAGTACCCCCTCACCAATCCCCCCATTCCCCCGGCATCACGCAAGGGCTTTACGGTAATTTCCCACTTCTCGGGGATAATCCCCGAACGCTGTGGCGGACATCAAAGCTGGGGAAAAAGTCCGCTGACATCCGAGACGAGAAGATAATCGGAACGACGCGCACGCTCTCCCTCGATTCCCGAGAATGTCTCGCTGCGATCGCGATTTTCCCGGAAAATGATTTCCCGAGAATCTCCGTCGCCGAAGCCGTCGCCGTCGCCGTCGTCTTCTCGGTGACGTCGGAGCTAGAGCGGACCGAGACGAGCGAGGAATGCATTCGCTGAGCCTGAAGGCTTTCGGCAGCGACGCCAATGCGGCGACGGCGGCGCGGAGGTGCTTCCCGCCGCCCCAGGCGAGCCCGAGGAGGGAGCGGCTGAGCTGCCGGGAGTTCCCGAGGAATTGCAGGATCGTCGCCGCTGCTTCTTCCTCGGAGGGGAGCGGCGGCGCGGGAGGAGGGGGCGGGGAGGGCAAGAGCTCCAGCGCCAGCTCGTTCCTGACGCGGAGTCAGACTTACGCGCTGCTGAAGCAGCAAATGGAGGTCGCCGCCAAGTCCGAGGTGATGGTTCGAATCCTCCTCTCCCGTCCGTTGGCTTGCTCAGTGTATGAATTTGTACGGTCCGGAGCCCTGTTTCGGGGGGGACGGTGGAGATATATATGCATTTGCGCCGTCGCACCATTTGCTCGTTTATACGAGTCGGTGAATTTGCGCATGAAAGAATGGATATTCGTTCGTAGCTTGTGATGGCTAATCTGAATTCGTAGCCACGGGGATTTTAATGATGTCGGTCTCTTTTAGGATGGTTGTGTGCTTCGTACCTCAAAGGAGGATTTGATTATATTTGGATACGGTGATAAGTATTGGCAGATAGATAAATTATGGTTTATGTGCTTTAGGATTATAAGGAAGCTGCTCGAATTCGTGATTCATTGAAGTTGTTTGAGGAGGAGGAGCCGGTTCTCCGCCTGCGGAGGTTAATGAAGGACGCAATCACTGATGAGAGGTTTGAGGTACTTGAAATTCTATCTCCCCAGCTTAATCTTTATCTTCATTTTTGCTGCGGCATTCTATGTCACCAGATCAGGCTTCAGTATGCACTATGTGAATTTTCAATTCCTTTTGTCTAAAACAATCCATGTGACGACGAACTGCCCCGTGTTGATCTTTACCATGGTATCCTGCCTCTAATTGGAAATTTCACTTCGATTTCTTTCTAGTGCCTCGACCCCTTTTGGGTCAGCTGCTAGTGGTAAATGTCGCCTGTTAAGGTAGTCATAACTTTATCTTGGGAGGTTTAGTATGTTTGTTTCCGTCATGGTTAGCCTGACTACTGTTGTGCTATGCTTGGGCATTAAATGCCCAAATCTCCATGTTTACCTCATTTAGTTGCCCATTTCTAATGTATTTTGAGGTCCAGAGTTCGAATGCTGTGCCCTTTATGCTTGAATCTTCTCTTCCCTTTTTCCTATTCTTTTCTTTTTGACGGAGTTGGATGCATTCATATGTTATAGTAGTTTACACATTCATCCTTGTCATGTATACGAAGCAAACAAGATCTGCAAGACGTGAAAATGCTTAGAGGGTCAAACATCTGATGCAAGATTTAGTAAAGTTTTGATATGACCATTGTTCCTGCTTCGTGCAAATTCCATCATGATCCTACATGACATAGCCATTCGTTAGTGACAACCCCAGTTGAAATCCCTAAACTCCAGCTGCTTTTCTTCAGATGTAGAACTCCATACATACGTAAGTGTATGTATACAGATTGGAGCATTATTTTGTTAGTTTTTGTCAAAGGAATGTCCAACACTTATGTTCTATCTCTGTGAGAGGATCAAGCTGACTTTGTTGATGATTATTGTGTTATCCTCACCTTATTTTCACTGGTTGCTGACTTTAGCAATGATGTTGGACTTGTGCCAACCATCTCTCTTAACCTTCTGATATGTCTTTTCTTTCAGGACGCAGCTAAATATCACAACGAGCTGAAAGAAATTGCACCCCATTCACTCTTGAAATGTGCAAGCGATGCAACAACCTTGGTATACACTTTATATGTTTTTGCTGCTACAATTAGATGGGCTTTTACAAAGTAAAATGTTACTATGAATTGACTGATGATTCTAGTCTGGTTCATGAATCTGTTTCGTATGCATAGTAAAACTCCATTAGTGTGCCGGTTATATTTAGTATGATGTTATGAACGTTTTGTATCTTGTAATTTAAATTTTCTGGGACATCTTTTGGAAACTGGTAATTACCTACAGTTACATGATGAGCACTTAGAAATGCTTGTAGGAGTCACCAGTCAGTATCAAATACAGCCCTTTTAGCAACCAATTTGTGGAAATTACTGAAATGTTCTGTTCAAGATCCTCAGAATGTTAGCCATCGAAGTTGCGGGAGTTCTCTTTAGGAAGAGTTTTTGCAGCCTGTTGTTCTTTGTTGCCAGCGTTGTCCTGTCCATTTTTTCCGTACCTGATGGTTCATTGATCTAAAGCAAAGTCCTTATTATTTCAGGGTATCAGGGTTCAAGTCAGGAGTGTGTACATTGAGGGGCGGAGTCAGCCTTCCAAAGGGCAGTACTTTTTTGCGTATAGGATCAGAATTACCAATAATTCAGATCGACCAGTTCAACTTCTTAGAAGACACTGGATCATAACTGATGCCAATGGCAAAGTCGATAACTTATGGTGATCTCTCTCTCTCTCTCTCTCTCTATCTATACATATATATGCTTGTAGTATTTTGTTCTTCATGTTATTGAGGCAGGAAATGTGAGACTGTGACTTGTTATTTTGATTTCTTGCAACAAGGAAGTATGTGTCGGACTTATTGTGTCCTTTTATTTCAGGGGAATTGGAGTTATAGGCGAACAACCCGTTATGCTTCCCAGGACTAGTTTTGAGTACTCATCTGCATGCCCACTCTGCACGCCCAGTGGAAGAATGGTAAGACTTTCTCACTTAGAACAATTGAGCTTACGTTCTGATTGGAATTGAAGCATATACATACATGCGTGCGTGCTTGGGTATTTTCTTCGTTTGTCAAACAATTTGCAGTTGCACCATGTAAATATTTTGAGTGAAGTTGGATGTAGAAAAATGGTCCAGAAGTAAGCATTCGACCAAGATGTTTACTGGTGGAAATGACATTTATATACAAGAATCCACAGTTTAACATGTAAGGTGGTTGGGGTCACTGTTATCTCCAAATCTATGTTGTGGTTTGCGAACGTTTGTGTAGAGTGGTATACATTTGTCGGTCTGAGGCACAAACGTTTGAACCTCATCCGCTTTTTCCTTTTCCGTTCTGCAGGAAGGTGACTTTGAGATGAAACACGTTGACAAGGTAAAGTCACCGACGTTCAATGTGGCCATCGCGCCATTCTCACTCTCCACTCTGGGGGATGACTCCGATGCCTTCTGATTTCCAGATGTCTTCTCTTCTTGAGATGGATCCGGCATTGAGGCGTGTCTTTGCTCCGATTGAGTTTCTTGTAGACTATTTTTATGGTAGAACTGTATAGCGAAGCAACATCCAGTTGTATAGATTACTCTTCCTCCAGTGCAATATGAGCTCTCGTCTCCTTTTCTTCTGTCTCTTTTTTCTGTGTTTGGACAGACATTGTCAAATATACGTATAGTTTCCCAAATGAGGCAGAAGTTTCGACAGTGTTTATGTCGGTTTGCATTGATGCTGCTCTTGGATCACTTTGTTTCAAATGGAAAGATAATTGGACAAAATCCTTTCACAAGAACACTTTGCAAGCAAAGTGAGTGAAAGAGAGAAATTTAGAAGAGGTCATTTCATCTGTCTCGCGAGTACTCCCAATCTTACGGTCAATATATATGCACCCGATATTCTTTTACTTGACGCCGTGCTTGCACGTGAGCATGCGGATATGACACGTCAGCGACCTTTTAAGGATGACGTGGCGCAAAGTCCACCTTGTCGCTCCGACTTCCTCTTCCTTACTTGCTGGTTTTCCCTCCGCCATGCTTAGAGACTTCGCCGACCGAAAACAGAACACACGGGATACGCAGAGAGAGAGAGAGAGAGAGAGAGAGAGAGAGAGAGAGAGAGAGATGTCGAAGCTTCTTCACACGCCGCAGATAACGTCCACAGTCCAAGCCCACCGCAAGAGCTTCTCTGCAACAATCCTCCTCCTATCCAAGACGCGCGCCCCACGTCTTCCTCTTCTCTCCTCTCTCCACGCGAAATCCGTCCCTCTCCTCCGCACCCCTCCTTCGCTGTCGAGGGCCAATCTTTCTCTTACCCGTCCTTCGGGTTTCGTTCCCCCCGCCGCCCATCGCAGGAGCTTCTCCGTCCGAGCGTTCGATGATTCCGCGCCGGCGGCCGAGACCCAGAAACCGGAACAGGAACAAGAAACCCAGAAGGAACAGGAATCGCGCGCCAAGAAAGACGGGGACTACCCCAGCGGGGAGTTCGAGTTCGAGGAGTTCGGGGCGTGGAAGAAATTCGGGGTCAAGCTCAAAATGCTCGTTGCTTTCCCCTGGGAGCGCGTGAAGAAGGGCAGTGTCTTGACTATGAAATTGCGCGGCCAGGTTCGGTCACTTGACGAACGATACTTTTGGTGTGTTTGAGAACAGTTCTTCATCTCTCTATCATACGTTTGGATTTGAGTACTTAACGCCTGTCAGCACATAAAAATTACATAAGATCTTGCCGTACATGCGGGGTTTGGCATATACATATTGGGTAGCAGGATACTTAGGTGTAGCTTCATCGTCGCTGAAAAAAGACAAGAAAAAACTGGGTGTTTGCCATGTTAGAGGTAGGCTTTACGGTAAACCAGATGTCACTTTTGAGTTTTGGGTTTTACTCTGTGTTGATGTATACAGTCAGAGAGAAAATATCGACACACATTGTTAACGGTGACTCAACCCCAATTAGGGTCGTATGATATGTGACTAATTACGATAGGGTACAGATCGAAACATAATTACTGAAATACCCCATAATACATATAAATTACACATTAAAACTCATGATTCATGAAAACGATTTGCAATGTTACAAAATCTTTGGAACGGCGTCGAAAACTCTTTTTCTTTTTCGGTCCTCTCAATACGGTAGTTTCATCTTCAGATGCGACAACTACTTATAGATACAAGAAGAGGAGTGAGACATGTTAAAAAATCTGCCCACTTACAAGATGCATGATAGAGAACCAGTGGAGAAGCGGTTTTCTGATAATGAGGTGGTTCTTCCAATTGCACAAGCTAAAAATTTGGATAGGCTTTAATTTTACTCTCATGTTTTTCAATGTAATGTCTATTGCTCGAGAGTTTGCTACTGAGTGTGCAAACAAAAACCCTTTGCTTATATTAATGTTGTGTTTCTTATTTGTCTCGCGAGAGGGTAGCTAATTCAATTTTACAATGATATATGACTGCAGTAAAAAAGCCTGTGCATTTGTTACCTGCGGCCCTGCCCGTAAGATTTTGACAAAGTGAAAAATGCATATTTATTATCGCCGCAAACTTGCTTAAGATCATGTTATATGAATCCATTATCTGACTCATCATGTATACCTCTCATTGGAGTTGAAACTTCTCGTGTTTTCCTTATTGTTCAGATATCTGATCAGCTAAAGAGCCGTTTCTCTTCAGGACTCTCCCTTCCTCAGATTTGCGAGAATTTTATAAAAGCAGCATACGATCCTCGTATCTCTGGTATTTACCTCCATATTGACTCATTGAACTGTGGATGGGGTAAAGTCGAAGAAATTCGGAGACATATCCTGAATTTCAAGAAATCAGGTAAAGAATGTGCTTACTTCTTGAATTTGGGTAGACATATACATACTATAAAGTGGCTCGCTGTTCCTAGAACCCTCATGCTTGTAAGACAGATGAATATGGTACATGCATGCACGCGATATGCCAGATTAAATAAGCTGGTTACTATGTGATCTTGGTGTTTTCACCTTAAACTCAGTAAATCAAAATGCCTTAACTTTGATTAAGCCGCCATGGTTTACTCTGGTGTATTTCTCCGTGAAACTTTTTGATGAGCTTATGAAGAGTTACTTAATGGTGTGAGTTTCCAACTGGTGGTGTGAACTTATTAAGAGTTACTTATATGGTATGAGTTTACTTTAATATATTGTTGCACTTTGAAAATGAGGGAGTCTTTGGGATAACAAGACTGGGTTATTCACTATTGATGAGGCCACAGCCCTTTTGCTTGATCAATAGACTATTGTACTCCATCATCTTCTTCTCTGGAATATGGCTCGCTTATGATATACTGAATTTTCTGGAAAGTTTTATCAAACCTAACACAGCTCAAAAGCGCTCTTCTTCAGCTTTTCTTCTCTAGTTAACATGTTTGTGGTGTAACAGTCAGTCTTACTGCCTAACTCTAGTACATATGCGCTTGGGGATAAGTGTGCACATATGTTATCCCTTGTGGTGTGAGTAATCCCAAATCAAATAAATCTGATTCAAGATTCCTGCAGTCAGAATTTACTTTCACCAAATATGATGCGATAGTAGGTTCCTTTAAACTGAAGCATACCGCCGCTTTAATTGCGCATTTGGCTTTTGCCTTTAAGATTTATCCTGCCATTGTTCATATACTAACTGTTGTTCTTTACTTTGTTTATGATAGAGCTTTATTATGATTTTATAGGTAAGTTCATTGTGGGGTACGTCCCTACATGTCGAGAAAAAGAGTATTACCTTGCTTGTGCCTGTGAAGAGTTGTATGCCCCTCCAAGTGCTTATTTTTCTTTGTATGGCCTGACAGTTCAAGCTTCCTTTGTAAGAGGTAAATTGATTTTCCAAGACCTTTAAACCTTAATGTGCTTTATCTGACAGCTGACTGACAATTGTAGCTTGGATGCTTATTTCTCAGACTTGTATGCTTCGATGCTATTAGGATTCCAGTACTTTTCTTTTCCTCCAGTTGACAGAACTTTTTTTGTTGCTTTTTTTGAAAGGGGAGGGTCATGACATGCTCAGAATTCTGCAGGTTCCTTGATACTTGTTATTGTAGTTGTTATTCTTTCTCTTCTTTTGATGAGGTCGGGGGGAGTGGGGAGGGGGATGAGGTTATATGCGAACCATTTGCAGCATCTGCCTAGATGTTTGAAGTTCTTACCAAAATCCTTTTGTCAATTCTGTCTTTAGGTTGGTTTGTCTTGGGGTCTTGAGAAGACAAGCATACATCAAAAGCATGTGGCATGCACATTTTCTCGTTTATATGATTGTAATCAGTGGATGACTTGCAGCTTTGATGCATAGCTTAAGCATGCCGGCAGAAAAAAATTGGATAGGAACTTAAAAGTAACTTTGCCGGAGTCTTTCTTTAAACCGTCAGCTGTCGGCAAGTGGCATGGATCATTTATCTTCTGGAAGCTTATTCTCTCTCTCTCTCTCTCTCTCTCTCTCAGGTTTATTTGATAAAGTGGGAATTGAACCACAAGTTGAAAGGATTGGTAAATATAAAAGTGCTGGGGATCAACTCATGCGAAAATCCATGTCTGAAGAAAATTGTGAGATGTTGACGACCATACTGGATAACATATACGGCAGTTGGATAGATGAAGTTTCTTCAACAAAAGGTGTCGTAGCTTTAACATCACATGGGCTTGATCTTCCAATTTGTACTTGCGAAATATTTCTAAGGCTCTTCTGTTTCAAACAGGGAAGAAAAGAGAAGATATTGAGAACTTCATAAATGAAGGAGTTTTTCATGTAGAACGGCTAAAAAAAGAGGGCTTCATAACTGACACGCGCTATGATGATGAGGTGCTTCACTCTACTCTTATTGTGGTGGGATGCTCAGAAGAAAGCATTTAGTAAAACCTGCCAAGGCATATACTGTTAATGATTTTGTCATACTAATATACATAAATACGTGGGTGGTCGGAAATTCCATGCTTGCATCTGTGAATATGAGTTTCTATTATTATTCGTGGCAGTCAGAGATGCCTCTTGTTTATCAAAAGCAAAGGTGTAAAAATTTCTTTTAGGAAATTTCATTCTTCTTACTTGCTTCCATAAAATAATTGTATGTGATCAAAAGCAACATGCTGGAGCTTACTAGTAGGGAGCTCCTTGGTGTCCTATTGTTTGTCTTCATTGTCCATGCCTGCTCATATTCTTATGTTATCCTTTACTAGGTAGAATTCCTGTCTCATCTTAGATTATTTTTACACTAATACTTATTTTTTACTAATGTGTAGACACATTGCAGGTGATAACAATGCTGAAAGGAAAACTTGGAGTGCAGATGGATAAGAATCTTCCGTTGGTTGATTATAGGTAGTCCACAGTTGGTCCAAGGAAGTCTCTGTTCAGTTTGTATGGAATCATTTTCCCCTTGTTACTGGTCACATGTGATCTGAAGTTTTCTAGCATATGAGCAAGTATGGTTTTAAAAGGAATGTAAAGTTTCAGAAACAAGTGTTCTACCCTCTGCCGATCTGGGAACAAAAAAATAACAGTTTCGGAAATTAAATGTTACCATCTCATGTTAATGGTCCTTTTCTTGTGGTACTACAGGAGGTACTCAAGAGTTCGCAAATGGACCCTTGGTTTATCTGGTGGTAAGGACTTAATAGCTGTAATACGAGCCTCTGGTGCTATAAGTCGCGTGAAAAGTCCAACGAGCCTTCCCAGTTCTTCCGGTGTGATAGCAGAGCAAATCATTGAAAAAATTCGGGTTGTGAGAGGTGAGATTTCTTTGCGAGCTCAGAAAACAGTTATAAGAATACTGGGTGGCATTTGTTTCTTTGGTGTAGTAATGCCAAAGCTCTGTGGTTGTCAACTTCCATAGATATGGTTATGAAGTGGCATTCTGTTTGCCTAGTTATGAAGCGGTGTTTTAATAGTAAGCTGGAGCAACTTATGAAGAAGATATGAATGTCTAGTGTAGTCCTTGTATTTCTTTTATGCGGAATCTCTAGTATTGCCATCTCCTGCTAGTGAGCAAATCTGTCCTGATGCTTAAGTGCAAAAATGATGTATAATTAAATTTTTAGCATCCCTTGAACCATCAAGTATTAGATCAAACTCTAATTCAACTGTTGAAATGTTTTATTATTCTACAACCTCCGGCAAAAAGAATCTTTCAAAATGCCTTCATGAATCAGCTGATTATATAATTTTGGCTTTTTTTTTCCTGCTTCATAATTCTAGTAAACTTTGAGTAAGTAGAGGTGGAAGCAAGCAAATTTAGGGGCGGACTACACTGTTCCCTTCGTTAGTCCACATGCATCTAGAAAGTAAGATGGTCAATCTTTTAGATGAAAAGCCAATTCGAAAGCCCTCCCTCTAAAGCATAGGCTGATAGCTCATCTCAAAGTGTTCCCATATTGTTATTATTTCCTTTTCTTTTATGGCACATCGAGAATTATCGTTTATTGCACCTTCTTTTTCATCGCATCTGTCTTTAAACATTATATCTTTCCTTTCTGTAGAGTCAAAAAAATTTAAAGCTGCTATAATCCGAATTGACAGCCCTGGTGGCGATGCTCTAGCCTCAGACTTGTAAGTGCTGCTATATGTCACCTGAACATTGTTCAACTGTCTTTTCTGGTGAGCCGCTCTTGATACTTTTAAAACATAAAAGCGTATATTAGCGAGAAATCAAGCTATATGAACGTCTTAGTTTTCTATGGATGTAATTGTAATGAATCGTGATAATCATATCTTGCTTTCACTGTGGTGTTTATAGTTTAATAGGGGGATAGTGTAGAACAAGACTAAAAAGTTCTGGCCCCTGGTTAATTAAGTACTTAGTTTTTCTTTTTGATCAATTGAGGACTTAAGATCTTATAAATGCCCTAATTTGATCTTGAGCTTGTTGTCGATTCATTTCTAGTGCCAAAATTTTAACGTGGCACCAACGTGGAATACTTTGGTCATCTGGGTTGTATGATATCCAACGCCTGGATTCCATCAGCGGTGAGTTTAAGACCTAATTGGGGCCTTTTTAAAAATCTCAAGTTCTCAATGACTACCGGTCAAAACAAACTCTAGTTTCTCCACTTATCCCTTTTATTTAGCTATTTCAAAATATTTTTTTTGCTAAGGAAGTTCTATAGTCTGTGGCATGTAAAAGCTCTTCTTCTCTATCTGGAATCAGAGTAATGCCAGTGCAAAGTCATGCGCTTTTGACATGGTTGACATTGCGCCATAAGATTAAGAAACTACCCATCTCTCTCTAGTTACTCCACTTATGGAGTTGAAATTTGAAGCTGGTGGGATAGCTCAAAAGATGCATTTGGCATCAGTAAAGTCTTGTGCCCTAAGTGATTTGCGTGTCATTTCCATGCGGTGGAAAATCTCATCTTTAACTGTCATATTGAAACGTATTACTCTTTCCTTCTGCTTTTTTTCTATTCGTAGCTTAAGTGGGTGTTTCATGATGCTTATGATGAGCAGAATGTGGAGGGAGATTAGGCTACTGGCTGAATCAAAGCCTGTTATTGCATCAATGGTTGATGTGGCAGCAAGTGGAGGATATTACATGGCAATGGGAACACCGACCATTGTTGCAGAAAGTCTTACCTTAACTGGCTCTATTGGAGTTGTTTCAGGTGAACCTAGCATCTCTTTGTAGTCTCATACATTGCAATAGTTGTTGTCATGCTACTGCTTTTCCTTTGGTTTTTCATAGCTTCATGGAGTTTCTAAAGTGGTTGAGTGTGCCATTTTTCTCCTTTCAGGGAAGCTTAACCTGGGGAATCTGTACGAAAAAATAGGCTTCAATAAGGAGATCATCTCAAGGGGAAAATATGCTGAGCTCCTTGCAGCTGAGCAACGACCTTTTAGGTGAGAGGCGTTGTCGCACGGTACTTTGAAGTGTAAATTAAGGAAGATATCTTGATAACTGTGCTGGGACTTTTGAGTGCCGTCTTCACATTTGGATTTTATGTGATGACATGTTCCAATGTAACCATTTGTCCTGCACTTTTTCTGGTTTGTTCTAAATGATTGCAGGCCAGATGAGGCAGAGCTATTTGCCAAGATGGCAGATAATGCATACAAAATGTTTCGTGATAAGGCGGCTTTCTCGCGATCAATGCCGGTACGGAAGCAACATCTGGGGTTCATCTATAGAACCCGCCTGATATACACCTGCTACTTAATGGAATTGTAATTGTTATATTTCCCCACAGGTTGATAAGATGGAGGAGGTTGCCCAAGGGAGAGTATGGACAGGCAATGATGCTGCTTCGCGAGGTTTGGTTGATGCAATCGGCGGATTTTCTCGGGCTATTGCGATTGCGAAAGAGAAGGCCAATATACCACAAACTAATAAGGTCGGTTGATCATCATGATAATTTTCCTTGAGCTTCGAATAGTTTTTCTGTTGATCTCGAAAATATTTGTTTCGAGCATCTCCAATACTTACAGAAATCTAAAGAACAAACAGAAACTTGTTTTGTAACAGAGTAGCTGCTAAGTTTGATCATTTATCTCGGGCGCAGGTCACACTTGTCGAGCTGTCGAGGCCATCTCCTTCGCTCCCCGAAATATTGAGTGGGGTAGGAAGCTCTCTTGTCGGGGTCGACACCGCGATGAAGGAATTGCTTCGAGAATTGACGTTTGCTGAGGGCGTTCAGGCCCGGATGGACGGAATATTATACGAGGGGCTAGAGGGCGCTTCGTTCGCAAATCCAATCTTGACCATGATAAAAGATTATCTGAGTTCTCTCTAGAGCGTAAGCTCCAACCAGTCTCGCGGTTCCGCCAGAAGTACACAGCAGCCTCGCTCGGTGCAGCGGGGGCGGGACGGCATGACATTCGCTACAGAAACGCACGGCACTGCTGCCCCGGCTCCGCAACGTGGAGCGGCCTCACGTGATATCAACATCTCAAGCCTGTTCAAAGCATATAGAGACGGAATAAGGATCGGTGATGATATCATTAGTAAGCTTCTATTTAAAAGAAAGTGCCTATTGATTATATATATTCAAAAGCCGGAGCTGCGAGAATGATCGATCATTTATTGCCCACGTGACACTTATCTTTAGCTATGTGCTCATCATGTGGCATGATACTTGGCATTATGTTGCCATAGAGAAAATTGTCCTAAAAAAGTCCTAAACTCGTTGCGTTACGCAGTGGATTAAACTTTCGAAGCATGCAAGGGAGAGCTTCATAGATTTGTGTCCCGTGTCTGAAAATACGAATCGTTTTTCCATGTCGGAAAATTCGAATTAGTGTTAGTATGTGTCAGGAATCTGTTGGTAGAAGAATGATGGTTGTTAATGGGGAGAAGGACACTACAAGTGTCAAAAATTGTATACGACGCTCACTTTTGGTACTAAAAGTTTCTTTTGGATCATTTAAGTGATCATTTTTTAAGTGTCAACCCCGCTTTGATCGTCCGGAAATTCGATGTGGGTCGCCGGAGGTCCAATCAGTATGTCAATAATAATAAAAACGTCGTTTGGCGGATTTCCCCTAAATAATAACCTTTAAATCTTCAAATCGAAAGAAAACCCAAATTTGAAAAACCCTAACCGGCCAATTCGAGCATTTGTTTTGGTTCGCCCCCCAAAAGTACTCGAGAAGCTCCCGATATACAGATCTCCGTTGGGGAGCGGCTTCTTGACGGCCCTCTCGGTAGTGGCGGTCACCGCCGGGGCGACCCGGCGCGTCAATCGGAGGCGCGACGACGAGCTCAAGGGGCTTTTGGCCGTCCTTGTCGGAGACGATGGGGACCCTAATCCTGTCCTTGTCCTTCAACCACGACTTTTCTTCTTGGTCAGCGAACTCATGTTATCCAGCAACACCGCCTCATGCATTTATTTTTGTCCCCGCTCCGTCGGGGCTCTACATCAAATCAAACACCTCCCCTCCTCTGGAAATTTCAGGCTTTCTCCACCTTGGGATAATCCATTGGAAGCACCACACTAGCGGTGGCGAGCCCACCGCCGGAGCGACATTCAACGGCGGTTTCTCGGTACAGAAGACCCCCCTCTCTCGCTCCCGAGTTTGGCAACTCCTGCTGTGCTGTCGTCTCGGCGCTCGAGGAGAAAAAACGATGTCGTTTTTTACGTTCATGTAGACTGTGTTTTAAAAAATACGCCACGTCACTTTTTTTAATTATAAAAGTCACGTACTTTGGCTGGAATTTCTCGCAGTTGATACTTCAGTGATCCGACGAAAACTTTTGGAACTAAAGTGAGCGCTATACACAATTTTTGACACTTATAATATCCTTCTTCCGTTGTTAGTGACTTACCAAAACTTTTATGAAATCATTAACTTTTTTGTTCTTTTAGTTTGTAAATTACCAATTTCTGTACTAACTTACCAACTTTTAATTGCGGAAATAATTAAGGCTTTGATTTTACTAATTTTTATACGAAACTGCCAACCTAAAGCGAAGTGACTTACCAATTTTCATTTGAACTACTCAGTAACGTTATAATTATTTTTAATTTTTCGAAATTTTCTATGGAATTATCAAATTTTATTTGCTTTGTTAGCAATCTCTTAAGACTAACTCCTTTCTATATTAACAACCTATATTTAGCGTGAGTCACGAATTTTTTTTTTCCAATAAATTACGTTACAACTCCTCCTGTTTGATTTACTTACAGACTTTATTTGGCTTTTCTTAAGTCGCCAACTTTTCTTATTGTTCACAAAGCTTTGACTTGTCTTAATAATGCCTTAAATTTACCTAACTTTTTGTTAGAAATTACCAACTTTAATGATTTATTAATTTTTCTCTGATTAAGTTACGAATTCGTTTCGGTTCATCTACTCTCATCCGACAATTTGGTTATGTCCTTAACTTTAACAATTTCTGTTTCCATCATTTTTTTTTGGCACAATGAACGAATTTGGCCAGCATTTGGCCGGAAAACTGAATTTACATACAAATTATGTTGTCCCCCAGGAAGCCGGAACTAGAAACCGGCCAAAGTTGCCGATCGGCATCACAAGTGCTCACTGGCCGGTTGACGAGACGGTGCAGGTTTTTCCAGGTGAGTGGGGTTTTCATCACCGGCCATGATCACAACTATCCCCACCACGGGGCCGCCGCCTCCACTTCCGTCGCCGTCGCTGCCTTGCCTGGCCGTTTGGGCATCGCTGGCTGGCCCCCGATATCGCGGTTGTTCCTGTTGAAAGAAAGCGTTAACAATGCCACCGTCACGATCCCAAGAAGCAAGGCCGGGCCGCCGTAGATGAAGATCAGAGAAATGGGGACGGATCTAGTGCGGAAATTGGGTAACTTTGTCCCTTCGTGTTGGGGTTTAGGGGTTTGAATGGGAAGAAGTGGGGTGAGCTGCAAACTTTTGATTTTCCCTTTCAAGAAGAGCTCTGGTTTTTGCTCAGGAAATTCCTTCTAAGATATGACGCGACATGGTTTAGCTCTAAACTATGAACGTAGATATTGCTTAGTTGTTTCATGGGCAAAAAGTTGGATGCTAGCTGGTGTTCTTTTGGGCGTGCCTTAAATGGGCTAATCCTCTCTCCATAGCAGGCACCAGTCTTAGAATTTGTTTAATGTCGACGATTTCTATATCATGCCAATTCCAGAGTCCCAGCCGGTTGCGTGCAAGCTTGCACCACCGACCATCCATCCAAGCTGAAATGCGACTTATTGTCGCATCGCCAGCTCTGGAAACCCTTTTTAAGTGCTCAACCGATAAGATTTGCTTACTAAAATTTCCGGTAAACACTTCAAAATCACTATGCTATCTTGCCAATATGTGATTTTCGGTATCGAAATATCAACCCTAATTAATACGGGTCTTTTTGATTCTTCGAATTACATCACCTCTACTTATTTGTGTAGGTCTATTCTTGGCCATTGGTCGTTGTCGAGCATCGTCCTACTTGCCATATTGGGATGGCTAATATTCCCGGGTCTCTTTTCACCGCATTTTGCGAGGCCCACTTTTTCAAATGCGTAAAGCATATGGACGGACTATGAAATGACAACCTCTTTTTCGAAGCTTTTGAATTCCGTTGCTTGTAAAATTTGTGAGATAAGTAGAGCTAATCGCGATTATGGAGTTGGTAACCTAGCCTATTAAGTACTTGGCTATTTATTTTCATTACTAAGTTACATCTGGCTTTGATCTCATCACATTATCTTTACAATTTTTGTCAACGCGACATATCGAGTTTGGTTGCTTGTAAAACTTGTAAGTTAAGTAGAACTAATCGCGATTATGGAGAGGGTCCTCTAACTATTAATTACTTGCCTCGTCATTTTCATTACCAAATTACATCTGGCTTTGATCTCATCAGATTGTGTTTACCACTTTTGTCAAAGAAACATAAATGAAGGTAGCCCCGCACCCTGAAATTGTAGTGAATTAACTGATGGGCAATTTGTGCATTAAGCATAGTTTGGTTTGGTGTGCATTGCACATTTTGGACTGTTGGACATAAAAGCTCCAACCTAATGCTTGATTCAAAGACCTGGACATCTTCTTCTTAGTTCATTAGTCCTATAAAAAACCTCTTGCCCTCCCAATACTCTCCTCCTCTCGTTCCCTCTCTTTCTCTCGATCTGTGTATGGAGATGGAGCTAACTCAGTTAAGTGGAGTGAAAAACTCCAGCCTCGCTCAGCCAAACACTGCTCATACTCTCCTCCATTTCCCTCCACAACAAAAACCACCGCATTTCCCCTTCAGCGCCCTCCATGCAGACCCTAAAATCTCGCCTCCTGATTTCACCATGTCGTCGATCCCCTTCGGCGGTTTCTTCACCAGTCCCCACGTCACTGGCGAGCTCTCTCCAAACCCATCTCTCCGCGACAACTCCGCCGCCTTTGATGAGGCCGGCGAAGATTTCATGAATCATCGCCATCACTTTGACCTTGTCAGTAACGTCGTCCGTGAGAAGAAGCTGAGAAGGATGATATCGAACCGGGCGTCCGCGCGGAGGTCGCGGCTGAGGAAGAAGAAGCAGATCGAAGAGCTCCAAATGCAAGCGGACCAGCTCCGAGGCGCCAACAGCAAGCTCGCCGACAAAATCATTAGCCTTTTGGAGAGCAATAGCCAGATCCTCCAAGAGAATGGTCGGCTCAAAGAGAAGGTCTCTTCGCTCCAGGCCGTTGCGACGGAACTGTTGACCCCCTTCAGGAACGCGGAAGAAGTTGCTTGCATTCTTAAGACCGAGGCATCGAAGTGATCGGTGCGTTGGCACACGGACAAGCTGTATCAGACTTGGTAAAAAAGTTATACAGACGAAAGTACAGAGAGAGCACTAACTGCAATAATGGCTCTTCAATCCCAAATAGTACTTTCTGTTGGCTATTATCGTATGCACGGCTTGCAAGATGTGCTGCACTTGCTTGAATGAACAAATTGAAAATATTAAGTTTAGAGTTTGTCGATATGTCTTCTTCTCTTTAGTGTCTGCTCTCATTGATCAGGGTTTGATTTCTCTCTTTCGGAGATCATGTTTACACCAATTCGGACGAGTTAATCTCCCTCATAATTGGATTCGATTCATGCATCACATCTCATGATGTCCTTCCAAACTCATGTAACTGAGAAGAAAGATAGTTTGTAGCTCATGCATCTTTGATATTCTTATTCCGATGTTTCTCCATAAGAAACTACCGATAAACTTTCTTCTTAATTTGGTTTGCATGCAGGGGAAGTCTGAAGATATGGTATAATCACCCGATTTCCACATGAAAATCTGGGATAGGCTCTTTTCCACAAGGACTCCTAGATTATGTATAATTAGTCCAAAAAAAAAGAGAAGCTTTTCCCATGTTAAAAGGCTAACTAGATTAACACGGCAAATATTAAGTTCTGAGTTTACCGCATCGGATAGCTAACTCGATCGAACAATACAAGAGCTTTAAGATAAGCAAAGACCAAAATTCTTACTCGTGCATTCATGGAGTTTTAGCATTTATGGGAAACAGAATAATTTCCGGGTGCATTGATTAATAGAGTTTGGCACTCAATTTAGAAAGATATACCAGTGCCTTGTCCATTCTTATTATGCTTCCTTCTGGGGAGAGATCTCAAGTAATTTTCACACACATAAGAAATTATGTTCAATTAGTTCTGAATTTTTCACAGTGTCCGGCTCACACGTTAAGGACTTCAGTGTACCGAGTCCACAACTCAACTCTAGCTACGAAACTGTTTGAGCAATGTGGACCTTACCACTGAACTAGTGGCTAGAAATCAAATTTTGACGCTTGTGTATGCAAGAAGAGAAGGATGTCAAATATGTAGAATTGGTTGTACCAATTATTGCATGAGAAACTTAGCGACTAAAGACAAGCATTAGATCAGTTCTGTCAGAAAAAAAATTGCAAATATCGAGCGAGAATTCATGTGTTTTGATACTCAGAGTGCCCACACTGCAGGAGCAAGAAAGTTCAGCATAGTGCTGAAAAAGAAAGAGAAACAGGGAAAAAAGGTGGGATTGTCGTATTTCATGCTTTTATCTAAACAGTCACTAGGAATAAGATTCAATGGGAGCATTTCGATTGTAGTCATCTGATCATTGTTAATGTTTGAGGAATTCTCAATAGTCAATATGAGCATCAACTTCTAGGTTAAATTCGTTTTTTTCTAGATTTATGAAAGATTAGTACCATCCTCACGCATAAGAAATTTTGTTCAATTAGTTTTTGAATTTTTCATGGTGTCCGGCTCAAACGTTGACGGCCATATTCACTTCTGTCTACCGAGTCCACAACTTAACTCCAGCTACGAAACTGCTTAAGCGACTATGGGCATGAATGATAAACATTCTTGTTTATGGAATAGATTTTTGGTTTCTTGAACGAGTTTCTGAATAGAGATATGCATTTAATAACGACATAAAATTTCTCCTCTTACACTCTTTTCATTCATCGACGGGCGGTGGCAGGAGATGAGGGTGAGTGATGAGAAGAGCTTTTCCAAAAATAGAAAAGTGGAAAATTTTATTTCTCATTTTTGTTCCAAACCTATTTTTGGATTAATTTTTTTTTTCAAAAAAAATAAAAAAAATTTGTATTGCCAAATGAATTTCTGTTCCAAACTTGTTCCCAGGAATAGAGAAATAAAAAATAGAAAAACAGAATGGTTATCATGCGCACCTTATGTATCTACTGTTTATTTACGCGTTTTGTGATTTTCAATTTTGATAAAATGGATAACATGTAAGAGAATCTTTTCATTCAAATATGCTATACAAAAAGGTCATTTTCTTCTTGGCGAGCTCATTCTAGTAATTAGTTAATTTTCATGTCCAAAGATTTATCAAGATATTCCCCTTGGCCAGTAAATATTCCAAGTTACAAAAAAAAGTCCCCCATTTTTCCCTTGACTTCTTCTTTAAATAAGTACTTGTCAGTTGATCATTCGGACATTGTACACATGAACAATTCAACTCGTACAAAAATCACTTTTGGACAAAATTTATCGTACGTGAATTAGTTTGGCTTTTCATGATATCCCAGCTAGACATGGCCACGGTTCGGAACCGGCGGTTCCGGTTCGTGACCATGTATGAACCGATTCGGAACCGGCCGGTAAAAAATTAAAAAATAAATTATGAAATAAAAAAATAATGAATTATCAAATTATGAAATAATGAATTATTCAATATAAAATGTAATCAAAATGTACATTGTAATCAAATTTGGGGAAAAAAAGAGTTTCTCCACTTATCTGCAGTTTTTTTTTTTTGGAACCGGCGGTTCCCGGCCGGTTCCAAAATTGTTGGAACCGGAACCGGGCCCGTAGGCCACGGGCCGGTTCCGGGCCGAAACCGGCCCGTGGCCATGTCTGAATCCCAGCGCCCAGTGTTCCGAAAGAGAGACGAAGGAGACGCTCCTCCTGGAAGCTGATCGATTCTTCTGCTCGGTCGGAGTTCGCCAGGAAATGAGAACGAAGAAGAGTCGGAGAGGTACCTCCAGGACGTCGCCGTCTCCTTCGCTGAATCAGGTTATTGGTCTCTCTCTCGTGTGCAATTCGTGCTGCGTGCCCTAGATCTAGAGGACAGCCTCGCCCTTTTCCCCCGGGGTTGTTAGTTTTCGCGGCTTCTCGTAGGCCCCTTCTTTGTTGGGTGCGCGGTATCCATTGCAATGTCTTGAATTTTCGAAGTGGAAGGCCAATGTAGTGGATGGGTGAATAGCGGTTTACGATGACGACGACTGGGGCGCGGCAGCATCGTGGGTTTGATGGGTACTGTTAGTATTTGTCACTGTCATGAGTCTGAGGACCAAAGCGGATGCAAGGCCGTGCTATCTCGAGGCGATCCACGCCATTATGAGGAACGAGTCGGCTTTTCTTAGTTGGGTTGCTCGTGTAAACTCGAGGCAGAGATAAAAATCTAACCTTTTCTCGCCATTATGAGGAAATGAATCGGCTTTTCTTAGTTGGGTTGCTTGAGTAAACTCGAGGCAGAGATGAAAATCGAACCTTTTTTCGCATTTCGATTGGTCGTGACAATTTACTGGGAGATTTCTGTCGTGGGGATAGCGAACTGGTTGTGCTTGTTATTCAGAATCTCGTGATTGTTTCGATCAGCGACTTATCTTTAGCTGATGGATGTTATTCACCTGATTGATTTTATGAATGGCGTATTACTTAGTCAACAAAGTTCCTGTTGTCCACAGGGTGTTGGTGGCAAAGACAGCAATGTGCATGGTGCGAGTGACTGTAATGATGGCGGCGAGCAACATGCCGTGGAGATTCCTGTCGAGAGATCCCGACCCGGAGGTTCGCGAAATGTTTCTGGTCAAGGAAGCGTGGACATTCATTTGCTGGTGAAGCAGAGTTGCTTAAAATGCGGTAAAGGTGGCCAGTTGCTAGGCTGTTCTGAGCCTGGCTGCCCAATTGCCTATCATAAGAAGTGCTTGAGCATTGAAACTGAACTTAGAAGAGCGGAAAACTATTATTGCCCTTATTGTTCATACAAAAGAGCGGTGACTAAGCTTTGTACATTGAGGGGAAGAGTTGAGTGGACCAAGAAGACTTTGTCTGCTTTCCTTACTACCGGGGTAGCTGATGAGGAGCAGAAAAAAGGAAGAGACAATGGAAAAGACTCCAATGTATTTCCATGTCCAGGACAGGAAAATGTCCATGACGATGAGAATCGAAAAGAGAAATCTGATCGCAATAAGAGTGTCTGTGGAAGTCAAGGTCTAATAAAGAATCGACAACAAGGCAAGCTCCAATCAGGGGATACTACAGTATCTTCAACTAAAGGGGATTTTGTCACTGATGTGATCTGTACAGGAAATGAAGTACATGATTTTGAAACTCAGCCTGTTTCTATGAACAGTAGACGTCCAATTGTAGTGCCTCGGGACAAGGCACAACCAGAGAAGGTTGTTCCACTAAGAAAAGTTTCCTTCCAATTAGGCATCTCTAAGCAGAAAGATTCTAGAGACAAAATGAAGGAAGCCACTCCTGCTGAAAAGTTGAGGCAACAGCAACGGTCCCCCAGTGAATTGTATGTAAGATAGTCTTAAAAAAATTTGGTATATTTCTACCATAGTAGAGAACTGGACTTATGAAGATGGCTGTTGTAAATGCAGAGCGAAGCTGCCCCTTCACAATCTAAAGCGTAGAAGATTATGGTCACCTGAAGAGGAGGAGATGCTAAAGGAAAGTCGTTCTTGTCATGAGTTCTTTTCTTTATTTGCATCATTTGCAAGGATAAAGTTGCATGCAGTTCCTTCAGGGATAGCTATAAATCTTCAATCTTCTTTTATAAAATCAATTTTCAACTTTCGTAAAGATATAAGGATTTATCAAATCCTGTAGATTATCTTTACGGTGAATCTAAATAACTAGCTGATAAGATCCTTGCATTACGTTTGCATAAGCAAAGTATTTTTACCAAGAACTCTAGGACTCCATTTCTAATTAATTGAACTATTGCCTCCAGCAGATTGTTGCTGGAATATTTGCTCCTTTGTGATGTGGTCGTTCACTGATTGGTATGCTTTTGACGAGCTAAAGATAACGGAAAGTGATTGGTCTCGCGATTTTATATTTTTGATCTCATACGGTATCCTGTGCTGCAGGAAGGAGTGCGGGCATTCTTGAGCAACGTGAACAAGAATATTCCTTGGAGGAAGATTCTGGAATATGGCCGTCGTGTTTTTGAGCCAACTCGTACACCAACTGATCTCAAGGATAAGTGGAAGAACATGACTAGCAGAAGGTAAGGATGATGGTCACTGTATTTTTTTATTATTTAAGAGGGCAAAGTCGGGAAGAAGACGGCTCTTTCTTTTTAGTTTATAGGGATTTAGCACAGGTTTTTGATGGGGAAAACGTCTCTGGTGGCTCTGCATGGCTGTTTTTGTGAGGGTTGATTGGTAACTGCTATTTTCAAGCTATGTACAAGCCATGTGCAGTGACTTGCCAGGAAACTCAATTTTGGACTTATGCACAGATTTTGTACGGGTTGATAATTTTTCTTCTGTATTATTGTCTAGTTGGGGGGCTGCCTGGATGGCTGGGTAGGAGTGCCAGCACAATGCTAGAGTTTAGGAAAGTGAGAAATGGACATAGGCGTCGATAGGCATTCAAGGAGCGAAAGTTCAGGATTCTGTAAATCTCTAAACTAAATTGAGCATATAGTAGATCATTCAGAACTCTTATTCATGTTATAATTCCTAACATGGCCTTGATTCCAAAGGGGAAACATCACGAAAGTATACCGCTCGGAAATGATGGTTTCGCAAGGCGTGTGGACACGAGGTCGCCAGTTCTCTTTGTTTTCATCTGATCACTATCGATCTGATTGGATTCGGTGGGTATATCTATCATACTCGTACATAGGGATTTGTGGCTCGAAAGTCAAACGGTGCTCTAAACAGAGATTCAATTCTGCCCGTCAAAGTGAGAAATCATTTTATGTACCAATCACGCGATTGGCGTGGTGTAATCGATCGATGGCACCACTCAAGTGATATGTGACCCCTTAGGCTTTGCATTCGAATTTCGCAAATCTATTGCCTTTTCGATCAACTCTCTTCCACGTGTGTCGTCGTCGTCGCGTGGTGTTGTGCTGATTAAACATGCGACACGCTGTCCGGTGTTTGCATCACACGCATCTAAAATTTTGATTTGGTGCGATTGAAGTACGCTGAGCCCCATCACCAAAAGCGTGAGCCCAACGACCTGAATGTACGTAACCCCGTCATTCACCCTGCATTTTCCCCCCAACCCGGAAAGACATGAACTTTGTCCTCCGCTTTCGCTCCAGCGATGCTCTCTCCCGCAATGGGGACTCCGAATTTCAGCTGAAGGTCTCTGCTCATTCTTGCCTATAATTTGGAGCTTCAAGCTTCGGGATTTTGCAAACGATCGATGTGAGGCCTCTTCATCGGTCGATCTTTGCTCTGTCGATCGATGAGATGAACTCAAGTTGCCGCGACGAACGACTTTACCAGAGATCGAACAACATGACGGGTGAGTCTCTCTCTCTGTCTCTGTCTCCGTGCATGTGTGCTTTCGAGTCGCCTTTGGATGTGCTTAGATGTGGAGATCATGCACGAGTGAAGAGTGAAGTGCGCGTAATGTCATAAGCTTTTGCCACCGTCCACATTCATTACGAACTGCACTTTGGATTCCCAGTAATGCCCAGAGTCGAACTGTACCAATGAAACTGGTAGCCAATAAGCCTCAGCTTCTTCAAGAACTCTTCTTTCCCAGTAAGAATTGAATTCACTTCTTCGCATCCTCTGGCGACCGTGTTCAAGAACGATTTCCGCACCGTTCGTTGGTGTTTTTCCGAACGAAACCATCCAAGTCAAAAGCGAAGAAAAGGTTTTTCCATCTGAAGGTGCAAGAATAAGTACACCCAACACTCCAACAATGTCTGTTTCAATAGTCAAGCCAAACGGAATTTATCATCTGAACTACGGCTATTTTCTATGCTGGGGTTGATTGCTTTTTTCATGGCTAGAGAGAGAGAGAGAGAGAGAGAGAGAGAGAGAGAGAGAGAGAGAGAGAGAGAGAGAGAGAGAGAGAGAGAGAGAGAGAGAGAGAGAGAGAGAGAGATGGGGAGTTTTATAGAAACTAGGATCTTGTTAGTAAGTGCCATTCCGCCACTCGTTAAGTAACTAAACAGAGAAAGTTTTCCGTTCTTCAATGCGATGATTTGCTTGCGTTATGCGTAATTAGAATTCTGAAATTCAAACTATTCCTTACTGAGTATGGTTAACAAGTGCCCTTGAAAATATATCGGCGTTTGGAATTGAAATGCAATAGCAGGTGTAGTCCCTGTCTACTCTAGTCTTGAAATTTTTTGTGACCTATTTGATTCCACTGCGTTATGTAGACAGCCGAACTAATTTCGGTTGCCCAATTTTCCAAAAGCAAACTGTTTCTCCCCTTGAATTGTGGGGCTTGTGCATATGCTTCAAGTTCACGTCAGTTTCAGCCTCAAAAGTGGGATCATTCTTTTCTTGAACAGACGCATGTCTTTGGGGGTCAAAAATTAGTCATCACGAATTAAGGAATACCCTTTGTCCCGGTCAAGCCAAGTTTCTCTTTCTCTCCCCAGGAGAAAATATAGATGCCTCCTTTGAACGATATTAGCTGATTACATCTATGCAAGCCGTCGAATCACGTAGATCTCACGAAAGGACCCCACCAAATAGATCGGCCCTAATACATTAGGCTCTTCTAGGCGAGTGGGCCGACTCGATCCAGATAAATGGGAGGTGAAAATATGTGAAAACTTTAAGTCCTCAATCAAATTGAACATGCATTCTATGCGTATCTATCGTTACTGCTGCATCATCTTAGCTTGGGCCGAGAGCTAAAGGCTCAAGCTTCCGTAGTTCAAGCCCACGATGAAAACTAGTGCAAGAAAATCGTCCATCGCAGAGGATTGCTAGACATTAGGGCCAACAGCTCTTCGTCGTTTCAACGCAGTTGGTGCTGCCTCAAGAGAATCTAGGGGTAGAGAGAGCAGAAGATTGCTTCCAACTTCTGTACCAGCCGACCTAAGCCCATGTAGTCCTAGGTGCATGATTGGCAAATTATGGCACTTGTCGAAGAAGGTCAGACATGATTTTTGTTCCTGCCCCCACCCTTTGCAGCACATAGCGTCCTTAGGTACCGCCTTTTAACAGTGGTCTACGATCACCCACTCCCTCCCTCGGAGAAAGAAGGCTAGACATACTTCCGATGAAAAGCGTTTGGGCTGCTAGCGTTCCATCCCTGTTTCTTCTTGCCTTCTCTCTCTTTCTCGAGGCTTCACTTCGGAAAAGGAGGGAAGATAAAAATGCATGAGATTCCAAAATGTGAAAGCTGACGCAGAATGCATGTTGGGAACAGGAGGAGAATTTCATATTTGCATGGTTGTCTTAAGATCGCGACTGGAGAGCCGTGTAATATTATAGTTTACGGGATCTTAACCGGTAAGAAAAAGGGGAGCTTGCGCCCAAAGTTCACGTGTCACGGCCCTTCCACCCCTCCAACAACGCGTAGCGTCTCCTCTCCTCTCATCCATCACCCCATTTTCTTGCTTTTCCTCGCGAGCTATCATCCTTTCCTTAGCTTAGAATTTAGCTTCCGCTTTTTCAATCTCACCGCACGACACAAAAGCCCACCTAAGAAGTTTTGTGAATTTTGAACTTCTCTCCGAGCCCCCATCTCGTTCCAGTCTTTTGATATCAATCCCGTCTTATCAGTGAACCCCGCATTAGGTTGCATTAGGATTGTTCCTACGTTTGATCCTGGAAAGCGAATAAGGAAAAGAACTTGAAAAGTTCGCTATGATTGCTTCAATGAAATCATAGTTGGGTCATTCTCTTCTCCAGCATTTATTAAGCTGCCAATAGTGCTTTTCCTTGTCTCCCCCGTCTCGTCGTCTTTTATATACTTTTATTTCCCTGTCGAGATTCAGAATTTGGAGGTGAAACGTCCATTTTTAAGGTCACTGAATCAAGCAAATATTCGGGAAATCAAGAATAACGAAATGGGTTTCCTAACTGGATCCTCAGATAATTCCTGGAAGCCAGCCATGCCGGGTGGTCACACGACCGCCATGGGTTACTGGTTCAACTGGAGGGTCTTGCTCTGTGCGATCTGGGTCTTGGCATCTTCGTGTTTTGCATTGATGCTTGTGAGGAAGTCTGAAGCTTTTTGCAGTCGAAGTAGTGGCAACGGCGGCCGAGAAACCATGCGAGAGGCTGCGGGTGTTTTGTATATTGATGAGACCTGGACTCCATGTCTCAAAGGAGTCCACCCTGCTTGGCTTCTGGCTTTCAGAGTCACTGCCTTCTTCTTGCTCTTAGGAATGTTATGTCTGACGGCTTTCATGGATGGCGCAAGCATATACTACTATTACACTCAGTAAGTCCTCTGTTTCCCCTCTTTTGCGTAATTAATTTTTCTCATTCCGTTATCATCTCAGTTAGAGTGTATATAGATTCGGGGTTTCAGGTAATATTTTGCTATGCAAGTATGTCATTTAGCAGTTCATATAATTTTGTTGCAATTGAGTATCAATTACATTTACGGCAGATCGGCCTACATAGGAAAACTGCATTTGCATTACGCGGAATAACTTAGAAAGTTTAAGTATGGAGCTTTTGGGTTCTAAAGGATTTTATTGGTTCGACACAGTAAGGAGATACGGGCTTCCTAATTTTAAGTGTTGCCAACATTAGCTCGATGATAACGAGCAGAAGTAGGGTTTTTTTCTATTAATGATATACACCTGAGTAATGGATCTCCTCCTTTAGCAAGTTGCTCTCACCTGAAAATGATACGTGCAAGGTCTAGAATTTTTCATCACTTCTTCTGTGGTTGACAGATTTAAATTTCTCTCTGAACAGGTGGACTTCTACGTTAGTCACCGTCTATTTCGGGGTATGTTATATGCAGCTCTGCTGACCCATTATGATCAAGTCCTTCATTTTGCTTCTTTCCTTCTATGTTTCCACTAGTCACTACCTTCTTATTTTCTTTATATGTCCTAACATGACTACTTTGTGGGCATCCTCCAGCTTGGTTCGTTGCTCTCTGCATATGGATGTTACAGGTATGGCGACAAATTAAGTGAATTTGACAACGCGGAGATAGATTCAGAGAAAGCAAATTTTGCGGCCCCAAGACTGAGGGATTCTTCTGGCATGGCTAACACCAACAAAAGCTCTGCTCCACCTAGTGAAGCTGTTCGCGAAACTGCAGGCATTTTTGGCTATTCCTTTCAAATAATTTTCCAGGTACCTATTATGTATGTAATTATGATCTCTTAAGCTTTGATGAGAAACCAGGACATTGACATTGTTTTCCCCTTGTACATGACAGATGAATGCCGGGGCAGTTGTGCTTACAGATAGCATCTTCTGGTTCATAATTGTTCCGTTTCTTGCCGTAAACAACTATAGACTGAGATTTGTAAGTAACAGAACATTGCTTAGCTCTTTAGCACATAAACTCAAATTCTTTTGAGGTGAAGATTCCGTGATAGACAATTATCCAATAGTCACTTCATACAAATGGGAGAATGTACAGCCACTCTCTTCTATGTGAACTCAGCACAGTAGCGCATTTCCTTATAATTGGCACAATTGTCTGATGGAAATTCAGTCAGTCTCAAGCTTGTATCCATTTAAAACAAAATTGCTTGAACAATCTTGAGTCCTTCCCAATGACTTGTCTGTTTTGTGCCACTGATCTAACCTACTTATCTGACCTTCTACTTGCAGTTGGACATAAACATGCATACCATCAACGTTGTTTTACTTCTTGGAGATACAGCTTTGAATTGCTTAGTAAGCACATAGTTCACTGGCATTATTTCCCTCTCTCCTTTAAGGTCAGGTACCATGTGTTCTGATTCCTGAAGTTCTTCCCTTGCAGCGGTTTCCTCTCTTTCGGATCGCGTACTTCTTCTTGTGGACGACCATTTACGTAATTTTCCAGTGGGTTGTCCATGCTTGCTTCACCATCTGGTAAGTGATCTGTATTTTTCCTACTGCATCATCGGTTCATCATGATCTATACTATCATGACACTGAATTGCATACTGCTTAACAGGTGGCCGTATCCATTTCTTGACTTGTCATCTCCATATGCTCCTCTATGGTATGTAGACCTTATGACGCCATGTTTTATAGCTCGTCCTTTAACAATTAATAAGCATGAGAAATGAACAATGCAACTCCCCCTAAATTTTTTCCACTCGAATTACTTTCTATCTAACTACACTTGCAAACTGAGACGGATTTGGACACCTGGATGGTTCAGTTGGAGACCCGGCTTTGTTTTCAAATTTGCAGTACTCTGATGTGTGTCTCTAGTTTCGAACAGCCTTAGTCAATTCTACAAATGATTGTAAGGCTCAATTCACATAGAAAGCTATTATGGCCATGACCTACTCCGTTACACGCAACACTGGATATTCCAGACAGAATTTGTTAGCAGTTAAGAATGCAAAGCAGGTTTGCTAGTGGTTTGGCTTTCTCGAGCAAATAGTCTTGACTCCTCCTCTATGGCATTTGAAGGTACTTCTCCGTGGCACTAATGCACTTCCCATGCTATGGCGTTTTCGCTTTGGTGGTGAAGCTGAAACACAGCCTGTTGAAAAGATGGTTCCCTCAGTCGTATCAATGTTCGAGGTGACATGGATGAATCGTTGTACGCGAGGCAAACCTATTTCAGTCTATCCAGAGTTTAGTGGCGCGGGAGACTACAGCGACAATTTCTTTCGAGATGGTACATAGGTGATAGCAGAATTACTCAGTACATGCAGTTTTGGCAGTAGAAAATAAGCAGGAAAAATTTGTTCAACATAGCTTTCTTTATCCCGAGAACATGTCACAGCCACAGGTCTAGAATTTGCAGGTGTCTGAAAGAATTCAAAAGAAAGAATTGTTTTTTTCTTTCTCCTCCTGTGCATACACTCATCTCTTGTTTTCGTGCAATGTTCATCCTGTCTCTACTTCATTGTAACAGGCACGAGCATATAAGGTAAATAACATGTGCCGGACACCATTTTAATTCCTAGAGATGTTGCCTTCACATCGTACCTATCTTGGCGAATGAGATTTCTATTGGTCGATTATATCACAAGTCACGTTAACGAGTGCCCATGGAACGCTAGATTTTAGAATGGAAAAACTACCCATTCTGATAAAGTCATTTGATTTCCAAAGCACATTTAATAAGAAGTGCCCTAGAAGCACTCTTCGGCATTTTCCAAATGTCAAACAAATCGGAACCAAGTCGAAACCCCTGGAAGGAAAAGATTCGAACGAACGAAAGAGGAATAGATCCAACGGCTCACATATGACTTCTTTCTTAAATTTTGGAAAGGAATGAGAAGAAACACAATTTTGAAAGCGTTTTTCAAACTATTGACTCGTTTTCAGTTTTCAATCATCAATTCAAGAAGCATTATTCGCGTCTTTTAACCTATCTAACTTAAATTACAGAGAATAAAAGCTCTCTTAGCTTGAATGCTAGAAACATTCTATGATTACATAAAAAAAACACAAAATTCTCAATTAAACTATACGAGGATTCGAAGTGTGTGATAACTTCATCTGGTTTTCTCTTCTCGTCTGCCGTGTATAGTGGGCCGCTTCGCTCGCTTTCTTCGCACCCTCCTCCTCGCCATCTAAAACCCAAAACCCCTAACGCTTCGTCGTCTTCGTCCCCCAACTCTCCGCGCGCCTTCGCCAAGAATTTTCTCGCCTTCTTTCCCATCACTTTCTGGGAGAAAAGGGACCAAGAAAAGGAGGCGAGAAAGAGAGAGTAAAGGAAGCGATGGTGAACCCAGAGGAAGCCGGCCTCCAGGTCTTGCGTCGCCTGAAATCGACCGACCCTCCGATATGGCTCGCCCCCAATCCCTCCCTTTCTCAGGAGACGCGAGCCGCCTCCCTCCACCTCTTCTCGTCCCTAAGACCCTTCTCCCCCAAGTCGCCGTTCGACCAGCTCCTGGTCGACGGGTTCGACGCCGAGCAAATCTGGCAGCAGATCGATCTCCAGTCGCAGCCGCTGTTGTCGAGCTTGCGGCGGGAGCTGAGGCGGTTCGAGAAGGACCCAGATGAAATTTCGAATCTTTTCGGGGACGGCGAGGGTTCGGAGGGGAAAGGGAAGGGCCTCGGGGGAGGCGGGGGTGTCGAAGGGAGTGGGCGTGGGGGCGTTGGTGATTTGGGCGGTGTGGGCATGGAGGTGGATGGGTTTGATGAAGTTGATGAGGATGGTGATAGTGATGAAGAGGAAGGTGTTGAAGAGAGAGGGGTTGAGGGTGGGGACAGTGAGGAGGAAGGGGAGGAAGAAACGAATGATGGTGGGATTGAGGATAAGTTCTTGAAGATTAAGGAATTGGAGGAATATTTGCAGAAAGACGAGGCTAGAGAATATGGTTTGGAAGATGCCACCAAGAAGAATAAGAAGGAGAAGAAGACGGTGATGACTGACTCGGATGAGGAAGAAGAAGATGATGAGGACGAGGACGAGGAAGAAGAAGGTGATGATGATGAGGTGAGAATGGGTTGATAGGTGTTGATGTTGTGATTGCATAGCAATCAAATTTTGTCTGAGGAGTTGGAAAATCATGACTCTGCTTTCGTGTTTGTGGAAATTTTTACTTGCATTTTCTTAATGTTTAGTTCTTTGTAGAAATCCTGAAATGCGAGTTCATTTAACTCATTGTCAGTAATTTAGATTCATCTTCTCATGATTGAATATTTATATTAGTAAACACATCTTTTGCAGCTCGACGAATTTGATGTTGATGATGAGGACGATGAAGGCACGGACAAGCTGGGAAAGGCTAGGTAATAATGCTTTTTCACGTTCCCAATCACTTCTTTACGGTTGATAATGTTGATGGAAAATTTAACAGAAGGCAGATTTTTATCATCTTTGTTTCTTTAAAAGACCGTAAGTCTTCTCATTTTTGTTGCAATAACAAATGCATGAGCATCCTTACTACCTTATGGGCATCCCCATTCCCTCATGTTCTTCCCAAGCAGTAAAAGAGATCACAAAAGACTTTCCTTCCTATCTGCTAATCCAAGTTGCATCTGGCTCTTTTTTCTCTTGAAGTCATGAATGCCACGATCGCTTAATCTGTTTAAATACTGACTTCCCCCATGCTTACAAATGTAATATCTTTTTCTTGGAGTTCTTTGGCTGGCAATCAACTTTTATGCAGCATTTTCTTATAAATCTCTTTTGCGTAATATGAGATTATTTAGATATGAAGACTTTTTCGGAGCTAAAAAGAAGAAAGTCACTCAAAGGAAACCTAAATCGAGTGATGGATTAGGATATTCTACAGATGATGAAGAAGAAGAAGAAAATGGGAGAGATGGAAACAAGGTAATCACAGACTGAGTGCATTTGCATAGGTATTCATATATTTGTCTTGTGTAATGGACTGCTTTCTGGATGCTCATGTGTTAGTTGAAATAACACAAGACTTAAATCCGCTTGTGTTCAGGGAAATCATAATCTTTCTACCCACGAGAAGGAACTCTTGGACCTTAAAGCCAAAATTGAGCAGATGGAGAAGTCCAATTTGGAGCCAAAAACATGGACAATGCAAGGAGAGGTGATGTTTCGTCCGTTATTCGTTTAATTTTGGTGAATTGGCATTCTGTATTGGTTTGGAAAAATCGTGCAATACTTGCATCTGGATTATATAATCGTTATGATGACAGGTGACTGCTGCAAAGAGGCCTAAGAACAGTGCTCTTGAAGTGGATTTAGATTTTGAACACAATGCTAGGCCTGCACCTGTAATCACTGAAGAGGTTACGGCTTCTCTTGAAGAGTTAATCCGGAACCGGATTCTTGAGGTAAAGTTTGTGCTTGGCTTTGCTATTTATGCTGACGGAATGCGAAACTGGAATAATTTTTACTCTTGCATTCTTTAACAAAGCTGGCACCGCCAACATAGAGTTATTTTTTTAAGAAATAGAAAATAATTGCTACACATTTTTAGTTGACAAAATAACGTGTCTTATAATTTGCAAAAATCCCTTTAAAAGTCTGCATTAGTGGCATTATTTAAATGCATACTTAATTCCCTCAAAGCTTGGAAATGTGCAAGAATTAGACTATACAAAATCTTCTGCACTCTGGAAGGGTGACTTGTATGGTATGACATTGCCTGATGATTCATAAGATATGCTGTTCTTGTCAGATTAGTTGATAATTCACGCTCACTCACATCTTAATATGACATGTACGGATTTCATTTTCTTTCCTACTTTAAGTTCTGGGGTATATGGACTGTAATCTATACCCTATTGAAGCTTTTTGTTGTACCTTAGGATTTAATTGAAGATCTCTGGCTCTCCATTATTGTACATTTAATGGACATAAAGTTCTACATTTGTAGCAAATTAACCCCGAGAAGCTATTGTATTATCTTCTGTAGGGGCATTTTGATGATGTGGAAAAGCCTCCTGGTCTACCAACGAAAGCACCAAGAGAGCGTAAAGAACTGGTAAGAATTGTTTTTTTATCACTGTTTAATCGGTCCGGTGGGCATTATGCAACTGAATTTTCTTGCCTTTTCAGGACGAGAACAAAAGCAAGAGAGGGCTTGCTGAAATATATGAGGTTAGCATGCGGTTCATTACTTTTGCCCCATCTATATCCTACTTCATGTCATTCTAAACTGGGGGGACTCTGACTGCTCAATGCAATACATTGATTCTTACCTGAGAATTTTCTCTCTTGCAGGAAGAGTATGCACAGAGAACAAATTTGGCTTCTGCCCCACTGTCTTTTTCTGATGAGCTGAAAAAAGAGGTATGTTTACAAAATTTCACATATATGTCCTCCCTTTTCGTTATATTCCTGTTCCTTACACAGAATACTTGTTGCCTCTGCTTTCATGATCACCTCTGTTCTTTATGTTCCCCATTTGAAACTTCATGCAATTTAATTGACCCATGGCTTCAAAATTATAATATGCTCAGTCTTACACCTCTATTCTGATCAGGCTAGCTTGCTGTTCAAGAAGGTGTCTTTGAAGTTGGATGCTCTTTCTCACTTTCATTTTGCTCCTAAACCTGTAAGTGCAGGAGCACCATCAAACAGTTTATTGGTGTTGCTAGAGCTTTTGGTTATTAATTATTTTCTGATGACTTGGCAGATAATTGAAGACATGTCCATACAATCTAATGTCCCTGCTCTTGCCATGGAAGAGGTTACTAATTTTATTTTGGGCAATAAGGATGTAAATTGATTGCATTTGGTTTACCATCATTAATTACATTTCTTCATGTTTCTGGGAGTAGATTGCACCATTGGCAGTATCTGATGCAGCCATGCTGGCACCCGAGGAGGTATTTGCTGGCAAAGGCGACATAAAGGATGAAACAGAGCTAACACAGGCAGAGAGGAAGAAGAGGAGAGCTAAGAAGAAAAGGATACATAAAGGTATATGCAGTTTTTTGGTGCAAAATTGTCCTTGTTCTTCCAATGCTCCATTTTGCTTTTGCTCTGAGATTTATCTTTTGTTTGGTGTCAACTTGATTACAGCTGAGGCAACAAAAAGGATGCCAAAGAAGGGTAGAGAAATGTCACTGAATCGCAGTGAAGGTACGCTTTGTCATTTTTGCATTGACCTATATTGCGGTGGTATTAGAATTTCACGTTGAATTGTTCTGTAAATGCAGGCAAAGAGGAGTAGATACTGCGGAGGCTCCATTTTATGTCAAAGGTTTCCGTTTTCCTCTCAAACAAGAGTTGGGTATAATTGTAATGTACCGAGAGTCAAGAGAATGAGAGGGGAAGAAGAGAATGGGTGGGCTCTTTTAGCGCTTCATTGACCCAGCTCGATGTCAAGGTCCACAAAGTTTTGATTGGTTTGGCCTGAAGTACAGAGAGACATTAAAAATAGATGGAAGATCTTCTCTGGGGGAAAGCTAGATAGTGTGATTATGGAAGCCACTCTACTTCATGTTAGTTTTTTGATTGAAAGGAGAAATTTTGGAGGAAAATCCTAACTCAAGAATGTTGATGCGTAATCGACTAATTTGTTTGTACCGGCCGTCTTTAGCTAATTGTTGGAATGCTTTATCATTAATTTATGAGCACCTGCTATTGAATCTCGAACTCAGTCTACTAAATCCAAGATCAGCATTTATCTGTCCAGGAAGGAACCATTTTCTAGCACTAGCAACCCACGAGTTCAAAGTTGGAAGTATTTTTGGGAATTGCCCTGGGCTCTCCTTTACTTTGTAAATTCTTTTTCACAAATGAGTCGACAAGTGGTCGCTGCTGATGGTTTACTTCTGATCTGCTGAGGCCAAGATAATTATGAAATAGGCCGAGCAGAGTGTGCATGGGTATGTGATAAGTGGTTGATCAGGGTATGTCTTGTCTTCAACTATAAGGTTTTGTCACCCTCGTTGCAGATTCTCAGTGCTTGTGTAATTTGTTAGGAAGGAAACTTCTCTTAGCCAAAGTTAAGAAGCCAATACTTAAACACACAGATTTTGTTAATGAACCATGTTAAGCTATCAACAAAGAAAAGTTTTCTATTCTCAACGCATCTGACTTTTGTTTTTTATGATATGTGTGATTAACCACACAGATAAGACTGGATTATTGCCGTGGTTTAAGAGAAGTATGGATGCATTCGGGCATTTTTATCTTGGCCACTGATGCACCAAAGCATAAAATAAACAAACTCAAGGGTACTTAAATTAAGGGTCGTCAATAAAATCTTGCTGCAAACTTAAAAAAGTAAGAGGCAAAGCGAAAAAGCAGGAACAAGCAGCTGGAAAAAGCAAAGCAAAGCAAAGCGATTTGAAGATGCACTCATTTCCTGCTACCATAAAGCAAAAAGGCAAACCCACAACCCTCGGTATTACCAAAATCTCCAACCCAGCTTAACTTCACTCGTCCTCTTTCAAAGTGATCTCCAACTGCACAAGCAAAGTATCACCCTCGCCAACCTTCTTCACCCGCTCCCTGCTGCAACTCTCACACTAACATGGCCGAGCTCAAAATGCTGGTCACCGCCACCATCTTCCTCTTCACAGTCCTAATAATGCCACTGAACTCCGCCACCCTCCACGTCCCGACGTGCCGATCCTACTGCGGCAACATCACCGTCGACTACCCCTTCTCACTCCAGCACGGCTGCGGCCACCCGGGATTCCGGGACCTCCTCTTTTGCATCAACGACGTCCTCATGTTCCACATCTCCTCAGGGTCCTACCGTGTCCTTGACATCGACTACGCCTACCGTTCCCTCTCCCTCCACGACCCCCACCTGTCCACATGCGACTCCATCGTCCTCGGCCGCCGCGGTAACGGCTTCTCTGTCGAGCCCTGGCGCAGCCCCTACCTCTCTGCCTCCCCCGACAATGTCTTCATGCTCCTCGGCTGCTCCGCGGTCTCCCCACTCTTCCAGGTAATTTAGACTCCATTTGGTATGGCTGTAATCCTACTGCAATTGCATCGCGATGTACGACGCATGTTTTGAAACTACATTGACACGCGCTTGAGATACTCGATTCGCTGTGAAGTCTGAAAAGTGATTGATCGCCAATTTAGGAATTGATTACACTGTTTGAAATTTATAGTACCCAACTGTATTTCTTTCACAAAAATTGGACTTCCTCTTGACTCTTTTTTTATCCAAATGTGATATGTGATTAAAGATATGTAACTACTCCAAGAATATGACTATAATTTGATTTGATTTCACATTAGCATAGATTATGGATTGATTGGAATTGGATGTTGGGTAACGCTTTAACCATAACTCGATTAACCTATGCATTACAACTTTAAAACGCGCTTCTTCAATTGATTTGTTTCTTTATACATTGTTGGTACTTAGTACGTGGTATTCTATCATCAATACACAAATAGCTTCTCTTCTTTCAGGGCTTTGCTGACCGCCACTTGCCGTGCCGGAATGTCTCGGGGATGGGCTGTGAAGAGTACTACGACTGCCCAGCATGGGACTGGGTCGGCCGGAGAAAGATCGGGTCAAAGTTCGGGTCAGGCCCGCCGGAGTGCTGTGCGGTCTCGTTTGAGGCGATCAAGGCCATCAACTTGACCAAGCTTCAGTGTGAAGGCTATAGTAGCGCATACACTCTCGCCCCATTGAGGGTCAATGGCCCGCACGAGTGGGCGTATGGCATACGCGTGACCTACTCGGTGCAAGGGGGCGACGAGTTTTGTGGAGCGTGCGAGGCCACCGGCGGCACGTGCGGGTACAGCGACGGTGTAGATGATCATAACGATGATGGGGTCAAGCAATTATGCATGTGCGGGGGCTCCAATTCCACCTCCAATTGCGATTCAGGTGATCACATTTTGGTCATAGTCTTGGTTAATGAATTTAGAAACCGTAAAACTGTCCTTGTCCAGTGCAAATTCCTTACCTGAATCCCTCAAAAGAGTTGCAGTTTTAATCTGTTATGCGCCTCGATAAGTTCAGCAAATTTTTGACGATAGAGAGTCCTAGTTATGTGACGGTCCAAGATATGATGATCATGCAGGTGGGTCATCATCAAATAAAGGAACATGGTCTCCAATGAACATCTTAGCAGGTACTTCTCTTAGTAGTTGATCTTTACCCTCGAAGTCGAATTTTGTCAGTTCGGTAACATTTAGTATTTTATCAGTGATTCTCTGAACATGTTAAGACATAGATCAAAACCTACAATGAATTTTTCCTTTTTGTTCTTGAGGATGCTTAATTCTGATTCACCACCTCATTATGCTCGTAGGTTTCATGACGTGTGCATTAGCCTGGATAACATCCCACAAGAACTAAAGATCGGTACTCACCCGCAGTACGTAAAGGATGAATGAGGATTCTTGACAATCCTGCTTGCTTGGAAGAGAGATTTTTGTTTGCCTTTTTTGTTTTGGCTTGAAAGAGAGGTCTTTACGTGTCTATAACCGTTTATTACATCATCATGGAACTACACGACATACAACTCAAACGCGACCAGTCTCCATCTCGCATTACATTATGCAGAAACAAGAGCAAGAACAAGAACAAGAACAAGAGTCTCATCTCTGTGTATGGTGTGACAGCTGGGACAGTGTGGTAATAGTGAGAGACTTGACTAGATGATATTAAGCTGAGCTGAGTTGTTAGCAATTGCTCCAGCATCCATGAGAAGGGGCTTCAATTTTCCCGATTGGTGCATCTCAAGAACCTCTGCAGTAATTTCAAAGTGAAGAAAAGAAGAAAAACACAAAGCCTGATCAAAAGACTTAATGCTATGAGACATAATTAAGCACTATGATTATCTGTAATGCATTCACCGAACCGATCTGGGCATGTTCAAGAGTGTTTAAGATCAAGGAAAGGAGGAGGAGACTTAACCGTCGGAGCCGCCGATGTGTTTACCGCCGATGAAAACATTAGGGACGGTCCTCTGCTTCGTCCACTCTGCTAGAGCTGACTGAATCTCATTCTCGTCTCCTGCGACGGCCCAAGTGTCGAAACGTTTCTCAAAACCTCAATTTTATCAAGAACTCTTCAGGGGAATAAGCAAAAGACCATATAAACACGAAATAATTCTCTACCAACATCCAACATGGCGAGGAAAGAAAAAACGTACTCTCCTCATCGAGTTCAATGGCGTTGTACGCAGCACCATATTGCGTGAACAACTGCTTCACCCTGTTGCAGTAGCCACAGTATGTCTTGCTGCACCCAAAGATAAATAAACAAAGTAAGCATCTAGATCAAGAAACCATGTATGGAACACGGGCATGTTGCATTTGCAAAAGGAAAAAGAACGAAAATGTCTACCTAAAGACGACTACCGGAGTGGAGGATACGATCTCCTTAGCCTTGTTCAACGCCATCTGGGTCTCTCTGTCTATTGATGAACTCGTCGCCAACCCTGGCTTTTATGGATTCAGTACGATGTACAGATTTGATAAGATCGATTGTGCTCGACGACATACGCGAGAGAGAGAGAGAGAGAGAGAGAGAGAGAGAGAGAGAGAGAGAGAGAGAGAGAGAGAGAGAGCGAGAGAGAGAATGGAGCCAAAAGCCAAACGACCAGGTGTCCCTTGTTAAAACAAGGGAATTTGCATGGATATGCCTGGTGTCAACGTTTCATTACAGTAGCGCAGAGAAGGAAAAGGAAAGTCAAGCAACGTTACCGTGATCAACCGATCACGCCATGTGAATACATAAGATCTTGTACTCGCTGGGACTGTTGGACGGGTTCTTACCTCTGGTCTCCAATTATTATTTGAGTGAGCTTGAAGAACTTCTGGTTTGGTACATTTCTGATATTTTTGGATCTTATGATTATTTTCAACAATGCATGGTTTTAATCTAGTTAATACATTTTCGTGAAATGATTATATTGGTTAAAAGCTTCGTCCTTTATTTAATGAAAAGAGGTCTGCTCATTTCTTATATCCTGATGTAGATTTGGGGTGTGACACGTTAAAACAGATTTGTCGAGATAGCTATACTCCATGCAGAGCAATGCAATAGCTTGTTGTCCAAGAAACTGAGTTCCTTGAATAATTTGTGTTGCAGAAATCTGATGCACACAACTTGGGTTGAGTATGGCAAGTTTTGGTTGTCACATTGATGAGGAATTAATTACTCGAGTTAGTTAGGGGCTGCATAGCCCTAAATCACTTTACAATACTGCAATAAAACAGGCTCAACTGTCCAATCCCTAATTAATCACGAAATTTTCATTATTTTCTTCCTGTGATACCCAAAAAGGGATCACAACCCCAACCCCCTAATCCGCCAACTTGAAAGTCCCACATAATTAACTGTGTAGCAGATAGCTTCAGCTCCAAGCAACTGCTGGAGGGTAAATGAACTGATCATGATCTTTTCAAGTGTCAAGGTTTTTCATCAGTTGTTGTCTACTTGGATGCAAAAATGGCTTCCAACTCTTTGTACAACCCTGTCGGCTTTGAGTTGAAGTCCGAAGACGAACTCGCGGACGTGCCCCCGCTCTTTTTGGTCCCCCAGAAGTCGCTCCACTTTGGACGACTGCTCGATGGGTCGTTTGGCACTGCACTACTTCCTTCTCTACTAAAGCTTGCCTTGGCCAATTCCCTCAGTTGCCTTAGCCACGGTTTATCTGTTGAACCTGAACTCCGGCTTCCGGAGCTCCTATTCCTACCAGCAGATGATCCTGTGTCTCCATTTTCTCCGCCACTTGGTCGAGTCTTAGGGAAATTGCTTTCCAGGCCTTGACTCAATTTCCGAGGGACAAAAATGATTAGGACTCCAAGTAACGCTACTTTCAACCCCAACAAGAAGGATTTATCATCAGGGTCGAGCCGCTTGGTTTGTTTATACAGTGCATACCACTCATTGACCATTTGAGCCACGAATCCAATCAAAAACAGCACAACCATGAAAATTCCCATACAAGTTTCGTCCTGCTCCGAAAATTCCTTCCTCAAGAGAACTGCGCATGATGCGAAAATGCCTACTTCGGTTGAAACCGATATGATCTCGACCAGTTGAACTTTCTTCTTTATGAAAGGCTTCTTCAGCACAAGGAAGAAGAGCTGGAAAGAGGTCACACACAATAGGGTGATCGTCGGGGTTCTAGAAGACCAGTCGTTCATATAAGTGCCGGCCAAGATTCCCAGAGCGACCCTTTTGATGCATTCGAGCAATGTATAGAATATCCTGAGGATTCCAAATATCTTCTGTATGAAGGGCGCTTCGGCATCTTCCGTTTCATCTTCTGAGGCAATTATGCGATCACCTTTCCTTGGGTGGCCTCCAGATATCTGCGAGAGCATGTATTTTGGGGGACCTCTAAGGTCTTCAAACAACGGGCCATATTTTATCAGGTAAGCGGAGTTAGGCTGTTTTTTCCATGTCCATTGGCCTCTTTTACCTGGACCAAGGGTCACTCTAATAAGCTCTTGATACCAGTGAAATCGTCGGCCTACTTGATGGACTTCCTTGTATTGAAGCAGTTTCCCAAATGTAATACCAACTGAGAGGAAAAGGAACAAGGATAGAAGTTCGAAAGACACGAAACCCAATAGCAGAATGCCAACTACAACCGCTGACGGAGTTACACCTATCATAGAGAATAACACGGTAAGCCGATGAAGCTAAAGAGGCAAGACAAACAGCTATTTTGTTACCTTAGACAGAATATTCTGGTCGTTAACTGGATAGAAGAGCGTGTCACATACCTTGGATCAGAGCAGAAGAGGCCTGACATATACAAGGTAAAGCAAGAACTAAAAGAAACATCTCAAGTCTTGGGAATGTGAGTGCTCCATAACTGTCTTGCTTTTCAGTTGTTTTGTTCTTGAACTTAAGAATCAATAGAAGCAGAGCATGCAGTAATATCAAACTGCCACCGATTATGGCCAGCCAGAACATATTTCTACTGAAATCCCTCCACCTACAAAAGACCAAATCGTCTTCATCAACAAAAGTAGCAGGCAGTCAGAATTACATCAAACTTCCTTTGGAGATAGCCCAATATCAAATAGGACTTAGAGCTGTAAAAGGGAAATTTGTAATCGACAAACTAGTGGCCTCAACACTCATCTCGAACTAGCAAGATGTTCAAATGAGGTACATGATTCTGCTTCCTATGACAGCAACGACTATAGACGAATTAGTAACTTTTTCTCCTCATTTTGAATTGATTTCTTAACAACTACTTACAATTCATTTCTGCAGCTTCTCAGATTAAATTTTTAGCAATTCATATCTCATCGAAAACACTGAGAGACTTACCCACTCATATGTTGAGGATCCAAAATGTATTCAACTTCTGGTTTACTATTTTCCATCTGCAAGTATACAATTTACAATGCCATGGTTATTATGGTTAACAGAGCCAATGATGGAGATACGACTCTGGAGAATAGTACTATAGACCAGAAGTTTCCCTAACCTCGAAAAAGGATTTGTACTCCATTGGAGAAAGTGGTAATCCATAAACTGTAGCAGCTCGTTTCAACTTCTCTTCTTTAGGTGTTCCGATTGTTTCCAAATCAAGAACTTCACTAAAGTAGGATGTTGAATTCGCAGGAGGACTTGAGCCCACCATGACAGGCTGGACGTGCCCGACTTCCCATGGGAGACTGAAGTAAGGAATACTCCACTGCAGGTCCCTTGCAAGTTCATAATACTCGACCGGCAATATAACTGCCAACCATCTAGATAGTGCAAATACCTGGATGTGGCATACGATTCTCTGTATGGAACCATAGAAACTTCTGTTAGTCTCTTGCAGCAACATTAGCAGTCATATATGAATTCCACAATTAGGAAATATTCAGAAAAACCAGGACCTGAAAGAATCCCCCTCTCTACTTAAAGTGCACTTTTTGGATCGTCAAATTGTTCACTTTTCTGTGACATCTTACTGTTTCATTGATGCGACAGAGCCGATATAACAGTGTTCTCCAACATATGAAATTCCAAGCATTCAAAGGCAACAAACAATATGCCTTGGAGAATGCTCTTATCCATGTCAATATATATGAAGTATCTGGTGTCTAAACAGCATTTTGACCCCAAATGATGACGAGTCTTTTTTTTTCCCTGACATTGACATTGTTCAGATTTCTCACTTGGAAAAGACTAAGTTGTAGGGGTGGCGGTTGTTGTTCAGATTTCTCATAACAAGTTCCCTAATAGAACTGAAAATACAGAATCTTTTTTTTTTCCTAATGAAAAACAAAAAAGTCACAAAACACTCGTGTAAGCAACACAGAGAATAGTGTCTAGCAAACAAAAAAATGATGCAGAGAACCGTGGCTAAATAAAAATTTGTCCATGAGACAATAGTAATTTAAGTAAGACGCATGGCATTGCAAAGACTAAATCATCGGGAGATTTATAACATACAAAAAGATTCCTCGAAGGACTGGATATCAAAGTGGCATATGTCCGCGGGAAAGCACCAATAGCTAGAAGGCTTGCTGTTGAAACAGAGAGCAGTCCCGCAGCCAAAGATGTGATACAAAAAGCAGCAGTTGCAGTGACAGAAGCGACAGAAGACACTACGGGCATGGAATCTGTAAAATTTAGCCCATAACTTAGAGCAAACAAGTAAACACAGAAATGCTCTCAATAACTTAAATAATGACTAACTGAGCTTATAAAGGCATGAGCAATTCCTTACAATGTCTCACTTGAAGAATATTGGAAGGTAAGTTTTTGTTTCCAGCAACATCCCCAGTTGCATTTTCAGGAATACTCACAGATACTATATCATCTTCTGCTTTAATCTCAATGGAGTATTTGCTTCTGCTCATTTCATAAAAGCTGGAGAACATATTGATGGGAACAAATTCGATATGTCATATGTAACTGCTGTAGAAGTAAAATCTTACAACAATAATGGATAAAATTTAAATGTGGATCTTTGCCAGCACGACCATGTTCCTAGGTACGAATAGTGTGTACTTGTGTGTGGATTAATTTCAATTTATGAGTGCAAAATGCTGGGATGGTAAAGTAGAACTTACCTCTGCAAATGACCTCCTGATATTGCTATATTAGATGAATTGAAGCCGAATACTGGTTTAGCAAACTTTATTGATATAGGGATATTGTGCTCTCTTGTCCTAGAAGTAGAGGTCGTGCTCAACCTAACAATTGGTCTCTGAGAGTCTGAGAGACATTTGCAACCATGTAAGGATAGATAATTCACATTAAAAATAATTATAGATAGTTGAGTCCTTTAGAATTTAGATGGTACCATAAAGGAAAGTAACTGGTGCAATAGGAGAAACAGCAGTCGCTTGTCTGCTAATTATTGACTCGGACTTGAGGCTTATGGTGATTATGGCAACGCCAGATGTATTGGCCACCTGAAAATTAGAAAATGCAGTTTAGAAAAATAAAGAAAATTGCGAATACAACATAGTACAATTTCCAGAACATGTATGCAGTCACAAAACATTAAAACCAAAAGATATAACTGACCGTGAAACCAAATTTCCGATTTCCGAGT